ATTTTCGGTTGCGGGGGTAGAATTTTCGGGGAGGGGGCGGACACTGGAAAAAGTATATAATTATATTTCGTTGAATGGGACGGTAGACATGTTTTTTTAGGGGGGTGGGGGGGGTGGGGGTGGGGGGTGGTGTGTGGGGGGGTGAGTGGGGGGGGGGTGGTTTTAATTTAGACTTTTTCCTCCCCGGAGAGGGGTGGGGGTACTTGAAATTTTCGGTGTCGGGGGTAGAATTTTCGGGGAGGGGGCGGACACCGGAAAACGTATATAATTATATTTCGTTGAATGGGACGGTAGACATGTTTTTTTGGGGTATGGGGGGGTGGGGGTGTTGGGGGGGGGGTGGTGGGTTGGTTTTAGTTTAGAGAAAAGAGACAGCACTATCAACCTAGCGCCCGGTGTATCCTTCCTCAACGGGCCATTTTTCTAGTTAATACTAATAGTTTCGCTGTCTGACAAGAACGCTCTGTCTGTCAAGAACGCTCTGTCTGACAAGAACGCTCTAGAGAAAACACAAGCAAAATAAAAACATGCACAGTAATTCGAAAAACGAAATATGACGTCGACACATTTAGCGTAGAGTAGAAAATAATCTCAAACCCAGAGAGTGCTCACAGTTATATGACGTCATTGATTTTCGCGTTAACATTGAATAAAAAGGAAATGTTGTCTAATCTTAATGGTTTGCGTGAAGAGTTTCTTGCATACAATTCTTCGGGTAGGGGCGAAGCCCCACCCCACGCGTAAGAACGTCTGAGCCCCCCCCCCTCCCCAACTCAAAAGAAATTTCTTCATCGATACTCTATAATAAAATTACCGCCTAATTAATGTGTCTAATCTAAAAAGTGGTTTTCTTGCAATTTCTTTAATGCAATTCTTCGGGTAGTGGCTAAGCGCGACACCAGTGTTTCTTTCAGACTTTTTCCTCCCCGGAGAGGGGTGGGGGGTACTTGGAATTTTCGGGGGCGGACACTGGAAAAAGTATATAATTATATTTCGTTGAATGGGACGGTAGACATGTTTTTTTGGGGGGTGGGGGTGGGTGGGTGGGGGTGGGTGGGGGGTGGTGTGTGGGGGGTGGGGGTGGTGTGTGTGGGGGTGGGTGGTGTGTGGGGGGTGGAGGTGTGTGGGGGTGGGGGGGTGGGGGTGGTGGGGGTGGGGGGTGGGGGGTACTTGAGGTTTTCGGGGGCGGGGGTAGAATTTTCGGGAAGGGGGCGGACACTGGAAAAAGTATATAATTATATTTCGTTGAATGGGACGGTAGACATGTTTTTTTGGGGGGTGGGGGTGGGTGGGTGGGGGTGGGTGGGGGGTGGTGTGTGGGGGGTGGGGGTGGTGTGTGTGGGGGTGGGGGTGGGTGGTGTGTGGGGGGTGGAGGTGTGTGGGGGTGGGGGGGTGGGGGTGGGGGGTGGGGGTGGGGGTGTGTGTGTGGGGGGGTGGGATGGTTTTAGTTTAGAGAAAAGAGACAGCACTATCAGCCTAGCGCCCGTTGTACCCTTCCTCAACGGGCCATTTATCTAGTATTTATAATAATAATACAATCTATATTTATGATTCTCTACGTGGGGACCAGGCGAGACACCACCACGTAGGGTCTAAACCGTTCCTACCCCGCTCTCTAGGCATATCGCTACCACCCCCACCCCACCAGTCTGGTGAGCTGTGGCTCACGTCGAAAGTTTACAATCGTAGAGCCGGGTCGATTCAGTGATGGCTATTAGGGGCAGATAATTTAGTTTTTAAACGATTTTGAACAAAGGGGAAATAATAAAAAGTTCTAATTGATTTTTTTTCCATTTCGGCTGTAAACTGTAGTCAAGACTGCTTTCAAGAGGGCAGGCAGGGAGGGGGAAGGGAGGGTGAGGATAGTCGTCCTTCACGAGCTACTGATAGTGCTTTAAAGCTAAATATTTTCATTTGCAGCGTTGGTAGTGTCGAAGTGGAAATAAAACAACTAAATAGCGGCGTATGCTACGTCGCGGGTCGGCTCGTAAACTTTATTTTGAAAAGGTTAAATCAGTTGGAGTGGAGGCCTTTTCACACAATGGTCGTTATTAAAGAAAAAAAAAATATCCACCGTGCAGGTCTACACTCCACCGTGTGGGTCTACACTCCACCGTGTGGGTCTACACTCCACCGTGTGGGTCTACACTCCACCGTGTGGGTCTACACTCCACCGTGTGGGTCTACACTCCACCGTGCAGGTCTACACTCCACCGTGTGGGTCTACACTCCACCGTGTGGGTCTACACTCCACCGTGTGGGTCTACACTCCACATAGTGGGACCACTATCTGGGTTTATAGCGTTGGGTATGCAAGAAGAAAATCGATTGCTCGTGATCAAGGTCTAAAGTTTACTGAAGGTCTAAAGTTTACACTAAAGGTCCAAAGTTTACATTGAAGGTCTAAAGTTTACATTGATGGTCTAAAGTTTACATTGAAGTTCTAAAAATTACATTGATGGTCTAAAGCTGTGTTAGCCAGCTGTGTTAGCCAGAGCTGTGTTAGCCAGAGCTGTGTTAGCCAGAGCTGTGTTAGCCAGCTGTGTTAGCCAGCTGTGTTAGCCAGAGCTGTGTTAGCCAGAGCTGTGTTAGCCAGAGCTGTGTTAGCCAGCTGTGTTAGCCAGAGCTGTGTTAGCCAGCTGTGTTAGCCAGAGCTGTGTTAGCCAGCTGTGTTAGCCAGAGCTGTGTTAGCCAGAGCTGTGTTAGCCAGAGCTGTGTTAGCCAGCTGTGTTAGCCAGAGCTGTGTTAGCCAGAGCTGTGTTAGCCAGATGTGTTAGCCAGAGCTGTGTTAGCCAGAGCTGTGTTAGCCAGCTGTGTTAGCCAGCTGTGTTAGCCAGAGCTGTGTTAGCCAGAGCTGTGTTAGCCAGAGCTGTGTTAGCCAGATGTGTTAGCCAGAGCTGTGTTAGCCAGAGCTGTGTTAGCCAGAGCTGTGTTAGCCAGAGCTGTGTTAGCCAGAGCTGTGTTAGCCAGAGCTGTGTTAGCCAGAGCTGTGTTAGCCAGCTGTGTTAGCCAGAGCTGTGTTAGCCAGCTGTGTTAGCCAGAGCTGTGTTAGCCAGAGCTGTGTTAGCCAGAGCTGTGTTAGCCAGAGCTGTGTTAGCCAGATGTGTTAGCCAGAGCTGTGTTAGCCAGAGCTGTGTTAGCCAGATGTGTTAGCCAGAGCTGTGTTAGCCAGAGCTGTGTTAGCCAGAGCTGTGTTAGCCAGAGCTGTGTTAGCCAGCTGTGTTAGCCAGAGCTGTGTTAGCCAGAGCTGTGTTAGCCACGGCTGTGTTAGCCAGAGCTGTATTAAATCTAAACATTTTCCACTGCCTGTCCTAAAAAGATCTGAAGATCACACAGCCAGTCAGCAAACAGAAAATTCTATTCATATCCTCCTATTCTCTCCTCTCCCCCTATCCCCATCCCCGTCCCTACCTCAAACATTTCCTTTACCATTCACATCGAACTTTCACTGATATTGACCACTTTCTGTCTACCACTGCATTGTCTGTCTGTCTGTCTGCCACTGCATTGTCTGTCTGTCTGTCTGTCTGTCTGCCACTGGGTTGTCTGTCTGTCTACCACTGCATTGTCTGTCTGTCTGTCTGTCTGCCACTGCATTGTCTGTCTGTCTGTCTGCCACTGCATTGTCTGTCTGTCTGCCACTGCATTGTCTGTCTGTCTGCCACTGCATTGTCTGTCTGTCTGTCTGCCACTGCATTGTCTGTCTGTCTGTCTGTCTGCCACTGCATTGTCTGTCTTTCTGTCTGCCACGGGGTTGTTTGTCTGTCTGTCTGCCACTGGGTTGTCTGTCTGTCTGTATGTTGTATGTATCTATGTATGTATGTGTTTGTGTGTGTATATATGTATGTCTGTGTGTGTTGGGGGGTGTGTTTGGGTGGGTGGGACCTGGATAGGTGGGTGAGTGGGTTGGTGGATGGATGGATGAACGGATGGATGGATGGATGGATGGATGGATGGATGGATGGATGGATGGATGGATGGATGGATGGATGGATAAATTGGATGGGTGGGTAGGTAGGCGGTTGGATGGATGGAAGGATGGATGGATGGATTGGACGGAAGGACGGACGGACGGATATATGTTTGTAAAGAAGTATGTATGTAAGGTTTTAAGGATATTAGGACATTTGGATGTAAGGATGTGTGGATGAATGCATGTATGGATGTAAGAATGTATGGATGTAAAGAGGTGTGGATGTAAGGATGTAAGGATGTATGGATGCATGGTTGTAACGATATATGGGTGTAAGGCTGTGTGGACGTATTGATGTAAGAATGTATTGATGTATGGTTGTATGACTGTAAGATTGTATGGTTGTCAAGACTATGGATGTAAAGATGTATGTATATGTGTAGGGAATTAAGAATTTTTTTAATTTGATGATATAAGGATATATGAACAGGAAACCTCCGTGTACAAAGTTGTGCACAAACATTTTATTTACTTTTGTCCAAACATTGTATTTACTTTCGTACAAACATTTTATTTACTTTAGTACAACCATTTTTACACATCTGTTTATTGCACGGGAAAAAAATTGAGCTAACATTGAAACACACAACATGTGTGTGTATTTGACCAAGCATCCAGCGACCCCCCCCCCCAACACACAACATGTGTGTGTATTTGACCAAGCATCCAGCGACCCCCCCCCCCCCCCCCCCACATAGTTCCCTAGTGCCCTCGACTTTGATGCACCTAGCGCCCCCTATCGGTCGATGCCTGGATGACACTGTTAAAAGCGATCATCTCTTTTTAAATTAAAGGAATGGGGTGGGGTTGGGGGGGGGGGGGGAGGGTTGGGTGCTTTAATTTATGAAATCGTGTGGTTCTCTCCCCTAGAACACCACGTGACTACCGGCCGATCGATCCACGAGCACAGCGCGAGGCCAGCTGTTACCCTCTCGTGTGGGAGTCTCGCCCGTCCGTCCTCCCGTCCGCCCGCCCGCCCGCTCGTCGATATAGGCTCAGTTTAGTACTGACCACTGGGAGTCTGTGGGTAAACTCTAGGTCAGTGGATACATTAAGGGACAGTGGATAAACGAATGGACAGTGGATAAAAGAAGGGTCGGACAATGGATTAAAAGCCAGTGACAAGTGGTCAGTGGCTACACTAATGGACAGTGCTGAATTCGTTGCAAACAGATGCACTGGATAGACAAGAGAAGGATATTTGTTTGGAATCATTTTCTAACAGTTGCAGACTTGTGTGGAATAATGACACGTTTCTAACAGTTGCAGACTTGTGTGGGAAAATGTTGGAGATTCGGAAAGTTTAGGATGTGATGTAGGATCTGGTGCACGATGTTGGATGATGTGTTGGATGTTGAATAATGTGTTGGTTGCATGATGTTGCATGTGTAAGGTTTAGTGATATAGCTTTGCCCTAAGCAAACAAAGATAAGCCTTTATAAAGTCCAACAAAGCTCGACCAGATGTAGATCTATAATTGAGTGTTGCTAAATCTAGAATAGATTGTATACACTTGTGAGCATACATGAAGTTTGTATTTGATCCAAGTATTAGACTACGCCTTAACTTTCTAATGGTTATGTATTCTATGCTTGAATATACAATACTGTTGCGCACTTATTACATGGCTACAGTCAAGAAGGGGGTGAGACGGAAAAGCTTTAAGCTAGCACAACTATCTCTTCTTAGCACTACCACCTCGTCTAAGCACCACCACAACCTCGTCTTAACACAGCAACCATCACCTCCACCACCACAACCTCGTCTTAGCACCACCACCACCACCACCTCGTCTTAGCACCACCACCACCTCGTCTTAGCACCACCACCACCACCTCGTCTTAGCAACACCACCACCACCTCGTCTTAGCACCACCACCACCTCGTCTTAGCACCACCACCACCACCACGTCTTAGCACCACCCTAACCTCGTCTTAACACAGCAACCACCACCACCTCCTCTTAGCACCACCACCACAACCTTGTCTTAGCACCACCACCACAACCTCGTCTTTACACAGCAACCACCACCACCACCACCACCTCCTCTTAGCACCACCACCACAACCTCGTCTTAGCACCACCACCACAACCTCGTCTTAACACAGCAACCACCACCTCGTCTTAGCACCACCACCACCACCTCGTCTTAGCACCACCACCACAACCTCGTCTTAACACAGCAAACACCACAACCTCGTCTTAGCACCACCACCACAACCTCGTCTTAACACCACCACCACCTCTCGCTTACACCGCGGATGAATACTCACTTTAACATATGACCATACACATGAGTGATGTATGTCATTTTAATAATAGATGAGACGTGCGGCCTTCAGTCGTTTTCTCCGCCTTCATTTGAAGTGAAATGTTAACACTATCGATTGTCTGGGTAAGGAGTAGGGCCTACACATTTAATTTGATAACAATCACATTTACTGTTGGTCTTCACATTTACAGCTGGTCTTCACAATTCTAATATATAAAAACCAATGTGCGCACTTTCTCTCTCTCCCTCTTTCTCTCTCTCTCTCTCTCTCTCACTTTCTCTTTCTCTTTCTCGCTCGCGCTCTCTCTCTCTCTCTCTGTCCCCAGCATTTTTGAGGCTATGTGATCAGTTTGTTCAGCGATATATGGAGAACTTTAAGGATACGGACTTTTGTTGAAAATAATAGGTTGGATGCTTATAAACTAAACTTTATTTAAAGGAAAATAAAAATAATGGCATATTCGAATGTAAAAACACATTTTAATTATGCAACCGGAAAAGTGTTTATTGTTAAGACAGGAACACAATAAACAATGACGTCACGTGAAACATGTTTAAACTACGGAAAGTACACAAAACTAATGGCGTCATCTTCCATTTTTAAAATATATAGAAATGAACTATTTCTCTCAAATTTGATTTAGATCTATAGATCTACTTATCAAAACGTACACTATGAAATTTTCTCGGCTAAAAGTAATAAAAAATTACTTTAAAAAACAACATAATGACCATTGAATAGCCGGGCTTTTAACAGAATCATTTAAGTCTCTTAATCAGTGTGTGCAATTAATATGGCGTTGTGTTGACTAATAATGTATATATATTGATTTTTTTAATAGGTATTGGTAGCCTATGTTATTTTAAATGTGTAGAATTTTTAGCTATTTGGTTATTTCTTTGCTTTGTCACTGATATCGTTCAACATGTAGTAAAGCACATTCTTTTTTGACCAATAACTTTTTATAAAATAGGTTTCTCCTAAAAGTATAACATTAAAATATATAGGCCTATAATTCGGGTACCAACGGCTAGTCACTTATAAAAGCCCATGTGTGTCTTCCTTTTCGCATTCCGTAAAATATTTTCAGAGGCTTTGAGATAAGAATCTTCAGCGATGTATGGAGAACTTAATGATAAGGACTTTTGATGAAAATAATATGTTGGATTTAGTAAATGTATAAATTAAATTTTATTTAAAGAAGAAAAAAGGCATATTCGAATGTAGAAACACATTTTAATTATGCAACCAAAACGACAAGAACGCAAAAAGCAATTACGTCACATGTCACATGTTTAAACTACGTAAAGTGCACAAGAATAATGCTGTCATCTTTCAAATTAGACTTATAACTATAGACGTACTCTATGCTATGCAGTGGCGTCGCTAGGTCGGGTGTCATCCGGTGCGGCACCTAATGGTTTCACCGCTCCACCCCCCCCCCCCCCCCCCCGAAAATTGTATGTATATATATATATATATATATATATATATATATATATATATATATATATATATATATATATATATATATATATATATATATATATATATACATATGGCTACAAGACATTATCCCTAGGACGTTCCCCCCCGGACATTTACCCCCCGGAGCAATAACCCCCTAGAGAATTACCCCCCCCCCCCTCCCATTCTCCAAAAAGAATCCTGATTCTAACTCCAACTCTATACCTTTATATTACCTTAATCCTAACCTTAAGACAAATACGAAAACCATAACCCTAAACCTAACCCTGGCCCTAGACCTAACCCTAACCATAGCCCTAGCCATAACCAAAACCCTAGGGTTAACCCTAACCATAACCCTAGCACAAACCCTAGCCCTAGCCATAACCCTAGCCTTAACCCTAACCCTAGCCCAGTGGCGTAGCGAGGTCGGGTGTCACCCGGTGCGGCGCACTTAATGGTGTCATCCCCCCCAGAGGCGTAGCGACCCTTCCCGGGGACAAACTTTCAAACTTTCGGTTTGCAGCCCCCCCCTCAAGTTTTTCTCTACAGATTTTGCTATTTTTTGCCTTGGTGTCACCCCCCTAAATGGTGTCACCCGGTGAGGTCCGCCACCCCCCCCCCCTCGCTACGCCCCTGCCCTACTCTTAACCCTAGCCCAAACCCTAACCATAACACTAACTCTAGACATAGACCTAGACCAGACCTAGCCCAAACTCAAACCCTAGCTCTAACCCTAGCTAAACCTTAAGCTTTAAACGGGGGGGGGGGGAAATGTCCTACTGGGCGGGGGGTAATTGACAGGGGGTTAATTACTCCGGATGCAATGACGGGGGGGGACGACGTCAATGGGATGATTGACGGGGGGGGCAATGCCATGTTCCCATATATATATATATATATATATATATATATATATATATATATATATATATATATATATATATATATATATATATATATATATATATATATATATATATTTATATATATATATATTAACATTATTCCATTCCATATTAACATAATCTTTTGCAAAACATACATTTAACGATCAAAATGATTAAAGGCGTGAATTATTGTTTTAAAACTTTAAGCTGACGAAAAGAGTCAATGTGGCAAGTCAACCAGTATTCTTTATCTGGTGATCGCTTTTTTTTAATAAACTTTAAATTTAACTGAAAGATTAGTTTGAACGTTGACATGGGGTCAAGACATGAAGACAATCTAACATCTATTATACACGCGTCATCACGTACATTAGGTGCGCAATGGTTTTTAGTCATGCAACTCTATTGTAAATTTTAAAAACTTTAAAGTACTGAAAAAAAACTCATGTCAGATTGCATTGTCCTCATGTCTTGACCCACGCGCCAACTTTGAATCATATTTGTGAGTTAAAAGTGCCTGAATTTTCGCTATGGCGTTTCGATCTAGACAGACTAACAACAGACCAACAGAGACAGTGAGTTATATAAAAGCTTGTAATTTAAAAAAAAATCATAACAAACGTTTTAAATAACAAGCTTTTGTGTACTAATGCACAAAAAAGTAGAAACTGAATGAGTTTCTTTAAATATTAAGTAATATAATACACTACTATGTGTATAACTATAAAGAAAAGCGTGGTTCGCTTTCTAAATTTTAGTAAAAGTATTCAATAGATCATAAAGTGACCCACGCTTTTCTTTATATTAATGTAAGCCCTGCTAGGGGGGATACCTAAAATCTACCCTTCTAGGCTTATCTATTACTGTCTGGTCAGTGCAAGTCCGGTAACCCAGACTGGTTAATAACCTAACCTTAGTCTAAATAATAAAAGTACTAAAAATAAAACAAAAACTTTAACAATATAATAAAATTTATTTAACAAAAATATGGAACCAAAGCTTATATAAAAAAAAACCACTGGAATTTAGATTCAGATCTAGACAAAACAAAACACTCAAGACATACAAAACAGAACTCAACGAAACAAAACAATTTATATATAACAAAACACCCAATTTCGGACAACGTCCAGGTTTGCAAAGAACAAATACACAAAATAATAAAAGCTAGATGGACGTTCTTCTGACTTGATGGTAAAAAAAACGCCTTCGTCCTTACCTCATCACTTCAGCACACCCAAGTGGACCGAACATCAAGCCGGAAATCGACTTTCGCACACCTCACACACTACACGTAAACAAATAGTCCCTAATTCACAGATAACAAACCAAACGCCACGAAACATGCAACAGAATTCTATAAAAAGTCACTTAATATAAACCTTGACAACAATATAAACGAAATATATACAAACTAGCTGTAAACAGGGACATAAACAGTGAGACAGCGGCGCCATAATATGGGACTACACAACTAAAAACTACGAACAATTTACGACATGAAACGAAACGATACATTCGCCTTCTATGTTACGAATAATAATAATAACAGATTAACACACTCCAGCCGCTCACGTTAATTTAAATAGTAGTGTATTATTATATTATTTTAAGAAAATCATTATTTTTCTACTTTTAGGTGCATTATTACATAAAAGATTGTTATTAAAACGTTTTTCATGATTTCTTAAAAGTTATTTCTTTGATTTGTCAATAATTTTGTTCAACGTTCAGTAAATTACCATGCGGTTTGACCAATAGTTTTTATATATTATTTATCTCAAACAAGTTCATTTTAAAATATATAGGCCTATAATTCACGTTTAAAGGGTACCGATAGCTAGTCGTTCCTATATGCACCGTCATATGTCTACCCCCTCCCCTCTGTATACCACCCCTCTGTCTACCCCTCCCCCCACTCACCATGTGTTGCTGCAGGTTTAGGTTAATTCTAAGATTAACGTCAGTGTGTCTGTCAGTGTGTCTGTCAGTGTGTCTGTCAGTGTGTCTGCCTATCAGTCTGTCTGCCTATCAGTCTGTCTGCCTATCAGTCTGTCTGCCTATCAGTCTGTCTGCCTATCAGTCTGTCTGCCTATCAGTCTGTCTGCTTACCAGTGTGTCTGTCTATTAACGACCGCCAGTCCAGGAGATGGGGGGGGGGGGAGGTTTGATTTAAAAATATCGAGTCCAAACCTTCAATTCTTAGAGTTTTCCCGACTTTGCTAAAGTTTCATGGTTGGGCTACATGTTGGATAGCCTGTGTTTAGTGCCTCTAATCTATTTATATGTGTGGTGTGAAGAGTGAATCTTAATTCTCCACATCTATCATACTTATATTTACCTCAAGTCTCTGACGCTTCCCGTCTTAATTCAACCGCTACCTCCTCCCCTCCGCCTCTTAGAGCCGAAATTTAGCCTTGCTTTTAGAAATCGATAGTGCCTTGCAGAGAGGGCACCTGATCTAAGATTGGATTTGGTTGGAGGGTTGAAGGGTTGGACTTGTCACACATTTTCAGCTGGTTGTAATTCGAAATTTCTCCATCACATTTTGATATTTTGAATTTCCAATTCAATGGCCAGTGTTTCCGTATTTCTCAAATCATTGAACTTGGAATGGCATCGATACTTGGATAAATCACTTACTTTCTCTAGATAACATTTGCCGATATTTTTAAACGGATAACTACTCGGCACTCGGCACAAAAGTATTTGCTCAAATTGTTTTGATACTCTCAGACACGTCCTTTATAACGACACATACAAACATACACATACATTTACTATATATATATATATATATATATATATATATATATATATATATATATATATATATATACACACACTAGAGTGACACAGGCATCAGAGATACAAATAATGTTTGAAATCATGTTTTACGAGCTTTGCTGCATATGAAAGTATCGAAGAGCGGAATTTTGTTTTTCAGACTTGATTAAAAATGTGTATTCGTTTGAATATTCCAGTACATTTTTGTTGCAAATTTTCGAATTGAAGGAAATGAACGGTGTGAAGACAAGCTTACAGTTTTATTGTCTTACTTCCTTCAAAGTTGGCTCATTGTCTGTCGACCTATTAGATCTGGTCTGGCCAGTTTTAGATCCCTGAGAACTCCTTCGTAATTAACCGGCTTCTAAGTATGACTGTTTTGAGCTTATACTAAAGCTTCTTAATATTTTGGACTAGATGAAGATACTTTACATTGTGATTTTTCAATTCCAAATGGTACTGACTCTAGCTAGGTCCACTAGTTTGGTCAGCAGCAAGGCGATTCTAAGAGGGTGCTAGGGGGGCGTCTGCCCCATGGCTGTGTGGGCTCAATGATCTGGGACCGGTTACGTAAGTTATGGCCGTCTTGGGCAGATCGCATCTCACACAAGAAGAAATCAAGCACCAACTCAGGCTGTCGGTGGACGAGTCAGAAGGTCGGCTCCCTGCACAGCCAACTCATTTTAATCGCCAGTCGGCGCCCCTCAGACAACCTGCACCCTTCAGAGAACCCGCGCCCCTCAGACAACCTGCACCCTTCAGAGAACCCACGCCCCTCAGACAACCTGCACCCTTCAGAGAACCCGCGCCCCTCAGACAACCTGCACCCTTCAGAGAACCCGCGCCCCTCAGACATGGACAGACAACGGTCTCACCGTAGATCGTCTTTTCGCATGAGAATCAGCCGGCGCATGCGCGCAGAGTTCACGCCAATACCGCAACATGAGAGCGACTCAGACGTCGGCCGAGAGCCGCACCAGGGTGAGGGGAGGAGGGGGGGCGCCGTGAAAAAAGATGGCGTTAAAAAAAAGGAAGACTCTCATAGCGGTCATAAAGATGGCGGCCATGATGCAGGAAGTGACGTGAGCAGAAAAAGCGATGTGCTGGTTACAGAGAACTTCACTGACCTGAACGTGGAGCTGGACGATGACCTGGGCAAAGGGTTCCGGCACAAACGTAGAAGTTTCGGCAGCGAGAGCGAGAAGAGGCGGGGCGAGAGGTTCCAGCGTCGGGAGATCGAGAAGAGAGTCACGCTGGACGAGAGCGACGGGCTGGACTCCAGTAGTCAGGACTCGCACGTCTGCGACCTCAACTGTCCACTGGTCAATCTCGGACAGTGCCCCAATGCACAGGCCTCCAGGCTCAAGGGTAATGGACAGCTTGTTTTGTGCTTAATTGTGTGGTCAACTGATGTTATGAGTGTGGTCAACTGATGTTATGTGTGTGGTCAACTGATGTTATGAGTGTGGTCAACTGATGTTATGTGTGTGGTCAACTGATGTTATGTGTGTGGTCAACTGATGTTATGAATGTTGTCAATATAGGTAATGTTTCAATTTTAACGGTGACAGGACAAATGATCTCAAGATAAAATATCTTACAACAAAATATACTATATGGGATGATTTTAAAAACGTTTTTATTTATTTTCGTATGGACTTTAAAACCTGTGTACACATAACCATTGTGAGATGTATAAACTACGTGAATGAGTTAAACTTAACAAACCCTCAAAAGACTAAGTTCATAAACATTTTTAAAAGTAGCATTTTATAGGACACTAGGCATACTGCCTACCTACGCTTAAGTTTTCAAAAACATTTGATAATTTGAATGTTGATTAATTAGTGGCTAGCTGTAATGTGGAATACAGCAATTTTTTTACAAATAAACCGATAAAAAAATATTGGCAAACTTATTACTTGCAAGGTAATTAGAACTACAAAGGCTTCCATGATAGTAATAATGGTATAAATTATATTACATTAGTTTTTGAAATTAATTTCTACAATTTTATTAGGATACATACTTTAGTGAATGATGAAACCCTAACTTAAACGAATGCTAAATATCGCCTTTTTTCCTTTGCTTAAAGTAGTATAAAATTGATCAAAATATTATTACAAAGACCGAACGACTTAGTCTTTATTTACTTTTTTTAACAAAAACAATATGTATTTTCTAATATCAGAAAATGTGGAACGTTTTTTTTGTGTTACCCTCCGGAGTTGGTTAACGACATCACAGAGCGGCATAGAGGTTGTCTAGAAGATTTTTTTATAAATTTATGTATTTTGAAGTCAAATAGTAAAGTAATTGGTACTAAGGGAGGTAATTTGTATACTTTAACAAAATTTGAATTTCGTAAAGGGTAATACATTTAGTTGGATTTTGTTTTGTGCGCATTACGTCAATTAAAATTATAAATAATTTTTTTTCATAAAAAACGTTTTAATAACAAGCTTTTATGTAATAATACACTAAAAAGTAGTAAATAAATTATACACTACTATTTAAATTACTATAAAGAAAAGCGTGGGTTACTTTAGTATCTATTAGATACCTTCACTAATATTTAGGAAGAGACCCACGCTTTTCTTTATAGCAATTTAAATAGTAGTGTATAATTTATTTTCTACTTTTTGGTGCATTATTACATAAAAGCTTGTTATTAAAACGTTTTTTATGATTTTTTTTTTTACTTTCTCGTATATACGAAGTATAGAGAAAGTATTGTAATCGTGTACTGATACGGAAAAACATAATTTTGCAATCTTGTCCGTATGTGTGTGTGTGTGTCTGTCTGTGTGTCTGTGTGTAACATGATTACTTGAGTACCGTTACAGCTAGGTTGATAAAATTTCATATATAAGTATTTTATCAAAATCGTAGATCCGTATAATTTTTTGAGCGATTTCCGATAACCGGAAGTGGTACTTTTCCTACTTTAAATATTTAAAAAGCCTATAACTTAAGTATAATTTCAGGTAGATAAATGAAATTTCACACGTAAGTAAAATATCTAATTGTCTACCTTCTGTAAAATTTTGAGTAATTTCCGTTGATCGGAAGTACTAGTTTACGCTATTTCCGATTTCTCAAAAAACGCATGTAAATTTATAAAGTGCTAACAATATTGCGCACTATTATGCACATTTTGTTTTGGCGTTCGCTTGGTACGCAATTCTTTTTTCTATGAGATTCTATTCTATTTTCAAAAGTTTAAGTAATTAAAAATCATGTCTACATTCCAAGTTATATAAAAATATTCGAGAAAGTTTAGGGGAGATCACTCCCAGTTTATTTTTTACATTTTTTAGTACTTTACATGTTTTATTTACAATAGAGTTACATGACTAAAAAACATTGCGCACCTATGAACATGATGATGCGCTATTGAACGTGATGATGCGTGTGTAGCAGTTGGAATGAACTGCCTACTAATTTGGTCAAAATTTTAATTTATTCATAGAAAATTAATTAGGCATCCATTTTAGTCAACTTTAATGTCATGATGCATTGTCTACATGTCTTGACCCACGTACCAACTACGAACCGTATCTGTCAGTTAGAAGTGCCCGTATTTTCGCTCGGGCGTTTCGATCTAGACAGACAGACTGACGACTGACAAGGAAGTGAATTAAATAAAAGCTTGTAAAAAGATCAATTTTGAGGAGTTTTTTTAATCATCAATTTAGATTTTAGTACAAAAATGGTACTTTAAGAATATTACACAATGGCGATTTAGTCGAGTTTTTTTTTTTAAAACTATATTCATGTGTTCCACAAAAATACATTTTACATACATACAGAGATACATAGTCCATTTCATCTTTAGATATTAGACAATATTTTTGGAAACATTGATTTTTTCTAAGTCAATAATAGTTTATTAAATCAAAATAATGATGCCAATTATCGTAGCTCTTAGGGCAAATTATTTATTTCTGCTACAGAAAGCTATTTAAGATTACTTACGTATAAATCGTTATGAAAATGTTTCTTGTAGTCTGGTTTTAGTTTATTCTGTATATTCAAAAATAGATTCGAATCGAGCCTAAAATTAAGATAAAAACTATCTGATCAAATAACAGCAATTGGAAATGAAAATATGACAAAAGCTGACAAAACCCCTCTTTACCCTGGGTATTAGTTCCTATTCCAGCACTCCATATGTAAACATCGATAAACAAATGTATTTAACACGTTAATGATCTTTCTATAACTGCTTAACAAAGACCTTTGTCTGGAGGATACCTCACGCTGACCTATGACCTTTTTTCAGCTCCAAGAAGGTCCAGTTTGACGTCATCGTCGTCTTTGAATAAAAATGGCCCCCACGGGCGCCGCCTGCGCCCACTGGCATCTCTAAGCATTGATGACGTGTCGTCAGGTGACCCTGTCGCAGGTCCACAGGTCAGGAGCCCGGGACTGCTCAGCACAGCCTCCATGTGGAGCACAAGTGACCTTCACCTTGCGGGCTTGGCACAAGCTCAAACAGCGGATGCAGCGTCACAGTAAGTCAAGGATGAGAGGTCAGGGTTGAAAGTTTATTTTCAAAGGCTGCGTGAAAGATCTGAGGCAAATGTTTAAGTTCATTTGTGTAGCCTACGTTTGATTTATTTATCTCCATCTTTATGTAGCCCATATTTATTTCATTATTAATAACGACATAAATGGCCAGTTGAGGGAGTAATACAATGGGCGCTACGTTGATAGTGTTGTCTTTTTCTCTAAATCGAAAACAAAACCAAAATCACCACCTCAACTTCAAATTTAACCGGAAACGAAACATGTAATGGACGCCAGCGAGTTGACGATAATCTTTCCATAATAATGTTGAAATGGAATAAAAACTTGCTTTTTTAGATTTAGGACCGTAAAAATAATAAAAAAATAAAAACTTAAGCCTAAAATTAATTCAGAAATTTAATATTTTTAGAATCAATGCTATAAAAGTTCCAGATCCAGAGACCTTGAAAATAATTTGTTGAGTTTAAGGCTACATTTCTATTTATTTTCATCAAGCCTAAGTTATAACCCGATGTTTCACTTTCGTAAGACAAACATTGATTGGCTGTACAGGAACTCCGTGATCGATTTCTGACAGCCCCACTTTGTAGTTGTTTTTTTTTTCACAAAACTTTTCAGATAAAGTTTTAAAATAACAATGCAAATTTAAACCCCATGACCTAGTTTTTCTTTTTTTTTAGTTTACAATGCGTACAATAAAATTTATGGCGGCCTATGGAACAGCAGGATGCCGTTATTTATGTCGCCATTACACGTGAAAACCAAATTGGTTTTGCTTTTTTTAAATTTTTTATTTAGTTACCGAAAATATTAAAAACATTAAATATATCCAATCTTTAGTAAAGTCCGAAAAAAACCCAGACAGACAGAATTTTATAACCATATCAAAATTGTAACTACGCCGTGCATGATTTTTAAATTAAAAATCATTGCGCACCTATTGAACGTAATGACGCACTATTGAACGTGATGACGCGCGTGCAGTAGTTGGATAGGACTGCCTACTGATTTGGACAAATTTTAATTAATTCATAAATAATTAATCAGGCGACCAATTAAGTCAAATTGAATGTCTTCATGTCTTTACTCACGTACCAATTACGAACCGTATCTGTCAGTTAGAAGTTCCTGCAATTTCGCTGGGCCGTTTCGATCTAAACAGACAGACTGACGACAGACTGACGACTGACGACAGATGAAGTGAGTTAAATAAAAGCCTGTGAAAAGGTAATTTAATATAAAGCATTAATGAGAAAAATCAGAGAAAGAGAAATGGAAACAGTTATGGCCATAAGGTCTTTGACGGTGTAAATAGTTAGGAATAATTAATCTTTGTAAACTTGCAAGTCGGTGTTTAACTGAAATTTAAAAAAAGAAAAAAAAAAGTATGGAGGGGGGGGGGGGGGGGTATAGAGCTACGTTTTTTACTTTCTCGTATACGAATTATAGAGGAAGTATTGTAATCGTGCAAAAAAAAATATCGAGATTCTCACAGATTTCGACGCTTTACACCTCCCTGAGTCGGAAAACCATAGTTTTGCAATCCTGTCCGCATGTCTGTGTGTGTATGTATGTCTGTTAACACGATAACTTGAGTACCGTTACAGCTAGGTTGATGAAATTTCATATATAAGTATTATATCAAATTTGTAGTTCGTTATAAACTTTTCAGCTATTTTCGATAACCGAAAGTGGAACTTATTCTACTTTTATTTTTTTCAAAAACCTATAACTTGAATACTGTTTCAGATAGATAAATGAAAATTAACACATATGTAAAATATCTAATTCTCTGCCTTCTATCAAATTTTGAGTAATTTACGTTGACCGGAAGTAGCAATTTACGCTTTTTTTCAATCTCTTAAAAACAAAACGCATGTGAATTTATAAAGTATTAATACTATTCCGCACTATTATACACATATCGTTTGCCATTCACTTGGTGCGCAATTCTTTTTTTTTTACGAGATTCTTTTCTATTTTAAAAGTTTTAAGTAATTAAAAATGGATTTAAAATATTGTCTATATCCCGATTTGCCAAAAAAATTCTATAGATGTTGTGGTCTAATAAGATGTTACGTATAGAGTACGAGGTGCTTAAAACATGGATCCTCCTGTTACCTCACCCCAACACACACACAAACTCCCGATCTTTTATTCTACGTCATTATCCTCTGTCAATAGGGCTTGTAAGTCTACGGTCTCGAAATCTACTAATACGAGAACGAGAAGTTGTGACCTACTTACAAGCCCTATTACATTACGGACCTTAACCCAACCTCCCCTCACCCCCACCCAGAGGAAAGTCTACCGCTCCCCGAACGAGATGGAGTTTATATAGAAAACATACTTTTACCAGTATAAATTCGGAACATGTAGTCCGCCCCCGAAAATACCCAGTGCCCCCCCCCCTCCGGAGAAAAGTTTGGAAAAAAGACTGGACACCTAACACCTGATAATTATCCAGCGTAGGGGTAACGGTAACACATCGGTAACCGTAATGGTAATGGTAATGGTAATGGTAATGGTAATGGTAATGGTAATGGTAATGGTAATGGTAATGGTAATGGTAATGGTAATGGTAATGGTAATGGTAATGGTAATGGTAATGGTAATGGTAATGGTAATGGTAATGGTAATGGCTTTTTTTACTGGTAATGGTAATGGTAATGGTAATGGTAATGGCTTTTTTTACTGGTAATGGTAATGGTAATGGTAATGGTAATGGTAATGGTAATGGTAATGGTAATGGTAATGGTAATGGTAATGGTAATGGTAATGGTAATGGTAATGGTAATGGTAATGGTAATGGTAATGGTAATGGTAATATTTAGGATAGTATATTATAAAAATAGGGATAGGGTGAAGGTTAGGTATAAGCATATTATCCTGGTTATTAACATGACCAGCGAATGACCGATAACTCTGTGACAGGGATAGGTACTCGTATTGTGCAGTTGGGTAATTGAGAGAAGGTTAATCTGGGGGCTAATGGGTGGGCAGGGTTTGGTAAAGACCTAGACCCGGGTAAACATTTAATGTAAGAAATGGATATAACGGCTACTTATTACATAAAAGGTAATTAAAATGTTTTATGCATTTTTTTCAGTACTTTGAAATTTTGAATAATAGACTAGCCGTCGGTACCGGTTACACGTAAATTATAGGCATATATATTTTTTAATGCTATACTTGTTTAGAAAAATGTTATAAATAAACCGGGAGTGATCTCCCCTAAACTTTCTCGAATGTTCTTATATAACTCGGAATATAGACATGATTTTTAAATACTTAAACTTTTAAAAATAGAATAGAATCTCGTAGAAAAAAGAATTGCACACCAAGCGAACGCCAAAACGAAATGTGCATAATAGTGCGGAATATTATTAGTGTGAGCGGGTGAATGGATTATTTTGTATTATTTTATTTGGTGCGAGTCTGAGTGCATGGTGGTCCAATAGGGAACGGCCACGGGGTCCCCTTCCGCTCGAAGCGGTCAGTATAAATTGGCCGCTCGGACGATTTTCTTCCTTTTTGACCCGCGGCGAGATGTAGGTCGGGTCAGGTTTCTGTGTGGGCGCGTGGCGCACCTCACGCGTGGAGGTATTTGTTTTTTTTATACTTTATCTTTGAGTGATTTGTATGAATGCGGCTGCCGATGTTTCTCGTTTTCTTTCATTTTCGTTTAAAACGAGATAGTGAGCATCGGCATGTCTGGTATGCACGTGGTGTGTTATTTTGAGGGATTTTAAATTTGTATTTTCTAAACCCTTGGCGTGTGTTTTCGGACCACGTGGTTTAGGTCAGTGGGTTTAGGAGTGTTTCCAAAACTGGTGTGAATGCGTGTGTGCATTTACCTGATTGTTTTATGATGTGTTATTGACTAGGATTGGCTTAGTCAATAGTCAGTTGTTTTAGACAGTAATTATATTAGTATATTTTAGTTGCCTCGTGTTTTAGGTTGTTTAAAATTAATGTGTGTGCTGTTTCGTGCAACGTCATGTTGAGTATCGCTTGCTTTGTGTCTGCCTTCATTGGGGCCTTAGCGGAGTGTGTTAACTTTAATGTTATCAATATGGATATTGTTTATGTAGACCAGTGGCTTCGGGCTGCTCCTTGTGCAGGAAAGATTGGTTCTACAATGAATTTGTTTACACGTTATTTTTAAGTTGCTAGTTCTTCTTTAGACAGTGGTTAGTTGTTTTTGAGAATTGCTTTTAGAATTGTATAGTAAGGATTAGTTTTACTCGAGGCTTTAGCTAGATAGAAGTAGTAGGTAGCATTTTGAACTTGTGTATATATTTATGTATATATCTGCCATTACCATGCATTTTTCTTATGTTTTCCTTTTCTTTTTTCTTCCCCCCCCCCCCTTCCAGTGAGGTTGCTTGTGCGACTTGGCTGGGTGTTTTGTTATATATGAATTGTTTTGTTTGGTGTAAAAAGTTTGTTGTGTACGTATTGTTTTCTACGTAATGTATTGTACGTAACGTATTGTACGTAGTGGTTTTACGTAGTGTTTTGTTTGGTGTGGACTTTTGGATGTCGAGAATGGATGAAGGGAGGTTTCTGTGTGTCAGGGCCTGGACCATCCTAGACATCATAAGTCGGCGCAACACCAGCAAATGGTCGAACGTAATGTTTTGTTGTATCTAAACTGTTTTGTTTGGTTTTGTTTTGTCTGTTTTGTGTCAGTAGTTTTTATCTATTCTTTTTTTGTGACTTTGATTGGTTCCATGAAATAAATTTTATTTAATTGTTAAAAGATTTTTTTTTGTTTTTATTATTTAGACTAAGGTTAGGGTTTAACCACTGTGGGTTCTACCACGGTTGCACTGACCGGACAGATTAGTTAGTTAAGCCTAGGGAAGGGTAGAGTAGATTTTAAGGTATCCCCCCCCCCCCCCTAGCAGAGCTTACATTAGTACTTTATAAATTTATAAGCTTTTTTTTTTGAGAAATCGGAAATGGCGTAAATTACTATTTTCGGTCAACGGAAATTACTCAAAATTTGATATAAGGTAGAGAATTAGATATTTTACTTTCATGTGAAATTTCATTTATCTATCTGAAATAATACTGAAGTTATAGGCTTTGGAAAAATTCAAAGTAGAAAAAGTACCTCTCCCGGTTATCGGAAATCGCTCAAAAGCTGATACGGATCTATGAAATTTCATCAACCTAGCTGTAACGGTACTCAAGTTATCGTGTTTACACACACATGCACACACAGACACACAGTCATACGGACAAGATTGCAAAGTTATGTTTTTCCGTATCAGTGAGGTGTAAAACGTCGAGATTTGTAAAAATCTCGATTTTTTTGCACGATTACAAGACTTTCTCTATACTTCGTATATACAAGAAAGTAAAAAGTTATTGGTCAAAACATTATGTGCTTTACTATACGTTGAACAATATTAGTGATAAAGCAAAGAAATAACTAAATTGCTAAAAATCCGACAAATTTAAAATAACATAGGATACCAATATCTATTAGAAAAATTAAAACCAATAAATTATATACATTATTAGTCAACACAACACCATATTAAATGCACACGCTGATTAAGAGGCTTAAATGATTTCGTTAAAAACCCGGCTGCTCAAAGGTAGTTATGTTGTTTTTAAAAGTAATTTGTTTTAGTTTAGACCGAGAAAATTGCATACATTTCATAGCGTAGGCCTACGTCTTTATATCGTTCATTTCTTTATAATCTAACATTGGAAGATGTCGCCATTTGTTTTGTATTCTTGTGTTATGGTTAGCTTTCCATTTCATAGTGGAACAAGGTATAACACAATTTAAAACACAGTTCAAATGTAATAATCCAATATAATTTTCCAAATACAACAGAGAAACAGTGAACATTCACGAAAACACTGACTACATGCTACCCTAAGTTGACGATCCCACACACTGCTTACACACTAGAGTTCACACACTTGTCAGGGGAGGAGACTCTCACACCCAATCTCTCCGTGCCTACACGCTTTCGCTATGAACATCTAGGCCACGTCACATCTTGTGTGCGTACAATAGCGCAATAAATTTTATAATATTTTATATAGGAAAATTTAATTAATTAATAAAAAAATGAATGAATCGGCCTATCAACGTATACAGCCTCCTCCACACAAAACCGTCTCACTACATACAATAAAATAGTCACTAACAACTATAACCCCTAGTAAAACTAGAACAATACTCAGGTCAATACTAAAGATAATAATAACAAATAGATAACACAGCCATTCACATATTTCAGTGGCGGCACCAACAGTCTGTCTAATGTTAGCGGGAGCTTCAGTGAGCGCATGCATGAGCTCGTCCGCGCCTTTTCCAGCCGCACCCAGAGAGCTAAGGAGAAAATCTCGCAGCCCCCCACCCCGTCTTCGGAGTCAGACCTAGACGCCAAGTCTGGTAAGTTCTTCAATCTCCTAAGTCAGACCTAGACGCCAAGTCTGGTAAGTTCTTCAAACTCCTAAGTCAGACCTAGACGCCAAGTCTGGTAAGTTCTTCAAACTCCTAAGTCAGACCTAGACGCCAAGTCTGGTAAGTTCTTCAATCTCCTAAGTCAGACCTAGACGCCAAGTCTGGTAAGTTCTTCAATCTCCTAAGTCAGACCTAGACGCCAAGTCTGGTAAGTTCTTCAATCTCCTAAGTCAGACCTAGACGCCAAGTCTGGTAAGTTCTTCAATCTCCTAAGTCGGAAATACAAATGTAACGAGATACTACAAGAGACACTAGCGAAGCCATGAAGGGAAGGTGAGGTGAGGATAATCGTCCTTCATCAGCTACTTATAGTGCTTAAAAGCAAAATATTTTCAGTCGCAGCATTGGTAGTGTCAAATTCACACACGAAATACTGAAACGTAGAAAATAAAACAACCATAGAGTAGAGCGGTGTATGCTACACCGCAGGTCGGCTCGTGGTTAATAAACGCAGTTATATCCTAACCTAATTTTTCCATTAATATTTGATCACTTTTCTGCCATCCCAAAACCCGGTAGGTCGTATAGTTACAAAAATGTTGAGTCAACCCTAGATGATCTTAGTTTATATTATCAATTTCCTAAATTAATAGCTTGTTCAAATCACCTTTAATTAATAGTTTAGAATTTGGCAACTGAAGGGTGTAGCATGCAAGCAATTGGAACGAACAAAGGTGGAAATATAGAATTGCAATTAGAATGAATGAAGGACTTACCCATGACCAGAGGTGTAGCGAGGGGGGGGGGTGAATGGCAGGTACGTATTGTTACGATCCCAGTGGATCTCTACCTGAGTTAACCCTATTAAAGGGGTAGGGGTGATGATAATTGTGTTGTTAGACTCTAATTACTGGTGACAACATTATTGACTTATGTGACCTTAGGGGAGACAGTATGGCGGGCGGATTGGGGGGAAATCTAGGAAGTTATCAGTAGGGTCTGACATTTTAATTAGGTATCACAGAACTGTGGCGACGTACGAATTAGGTTAGGCTGGATGAAGACAAAGGAAGGAGACCGTTATTTAAGGAGGGGTAGACTCGGGGACAGACAGTCATACACTCACGAGTGAGAACACGACACATACTCGGAGACGGACGGACTCGTCTCGGATAGCTAGGTCTAGAGGAGACAGACATGGGGCGTCTCTGTGAGCTAGTGGACAGCCAAGAGATGCCTGTACTGTAGTAGACCTAGGCTAGATAGACAGTTAGGGACAAGTAGGGTAGTCGTACTAAGAACTGTAGTTGTTGTAGCTAGTTGTGTTTATTTCTGATTGTTGTATTTCGGTGGCGGGTTAACTTTAAGTGTTGTAATTTGTGGAAATAAATAGAGATCACTGAAGTTGGCATTTATCTATTTTTATTTTTCTGCTTCTTGTTTACGATTCCCTGACTAGTTCGAAAGGATTGGAGAAGGGAGTCGTAACAGTATGTCCCCGGGAGCCGAACCTAGGGGGCGCCAAAATGGGTAGGAAAAAAATTAAAAGCTCATTTTAGCTGCAGTTTTGCATTATAAAATATAAAATTAGTATGGGGGGGGAGGGGGGGGGGGGCGACAAATTGAAAGTTTGTCCCCGGGCGCCGGGAAGTGTCGCTACGCCTCTGCCCATGACCGAAGTTTAAAGTTCAACTCGGCTTCACTCTTTTACGCTATCCTTATATAACTACACTAGCCATCCCGGCCAGGCCCTGCAGTGGCCTCTGTGAAAAAAAAAACTATCTGTGAAGGAACATGGCTTGTGTGTTTATCAAGCAGCATATACAGGGTATGAACATTTCACAAATGAACACATACCCCTAAATCAAACTCTAATTTCAAACTTAACCCTAGCAAAAAACCAACCAAAACCAAAATACAAAAACAAACGCAAACATAACACAAACAGAAACGCAAACTAAAACTTAAACCCAAACACTAAAGCAAACGAAAATACAAACATAAACGCAAACACAACGCAAACATCAAAGGAAACACAGACACAAATGTAAACACGAACAAAAATGCAAACACTAACGCAATCAAAAGCAAACGAACACAAAGCAAGCACAAACGCAAAACATAAACACAAACAAAAACATAACACAAACACAAGCGCAAACTAAAACCCAAACACAAACCAAAACACAAACGCAAACAAAACGCAAATAGAAGCATAAATGCAAACACAAATGCAATAATCTAAGGAAGCACAAACACAAATGTAAGTTAAAAAGAAAAACGCAAACACTAACGGAATTACAAAATCAATCACAAATACAAATGCAAACACAAACACAAACCTTACGAACAGTTAACCTTGTCCTAATAAAAATCTTGCTTTCACCATTATCGTCATTGTAAGTTTACTCGGTCTTTTGATTGCTTGTTTATTAAATTTAAGTCTCACAATAATGTTTAAGTCATGCATGTAGTATATCTCACAATAATTATGTGTAAAAAAATAAAATCCATAATATGACATTCACAATAAAATGTAAAATCGACTAAAAATAATGCTAAATACTATAAATATTTTACGGTGAGATATTTTGTCTGGGATCATTTGTGCATGGTATCTTTTGTCCTGATATATTTTGTCCTGGTATCTTTTGTCCTGATATATTTTGTCCTGGTATCTTTTGTCCTGATATATTTTGTCCTGGATCTTGTGTCCGTGAGATCATTTGTCCTGAGGAGAGAGAAACATGACGGGAGGAGAGAGAGAAAGGCTCTAAATACCCACCCGTCATTTCCTCCTTGAACAATTTTCCTCCCCCGGATATTTAAATCTGGTAATTTGCACGAGATCAGGTGACGTGTTGGAAATATTTAGCCGAGCCCTCCCCAGCATTTAGCAAGATGGGCGGGTGAGAAGCGGCGCGATTACTTGAAAAGAAACATGGCCAGATAAACCATGCCTTGGTCTGATTGCCCTAAAAGCTTTGGTGCCATCAGCTTGAATACACACGTCTGTTTTAAAAATTCAGTTTCAGTTTTTTATAAGCCAAAATATTTTCTCCCTCCACAAAAAGCAGTTATAAAGATTGGTTAGGACAAGGTTTCAAGTTCTGTTACACAAGATTCAAGTCTTGTTTCTTCCGGTTTTGGTGTGTTCAGTTAATGGATAAAATTACAAAGTGTTTTAGCTGTGGAAAGTGTATTGTTTCTTGATATACACTAAAACAGTTGGAGTGTGTAAAGTCAACTTTTTAAAGGTTCATAGTAGAGACGTCTAACTTTTAAACAAAGTGTTGCTTCTCGTAGAGTTATGACAGTGTCTAGATGTGTCTAGTTGTGTCTAGATATGTCGGAAACGTTTGTAAATCACATAAGACACACGAGACATTCTAGACACACGAGGCATTCTAGACACAAGAGACATTCTAGGCCCAAGAGACATTCTAGACACACTAGACATTCTAGACACACGAGACATTCTAGATCTAGACACAAGAGACATTCTAGACACAAGAGACATTCTAGACACAAGAGACATTCTAGACACAAGAGACATTCTAGACACAAGAGACATTCTAGACACACTATACATTCTAGACACAAGAGACATTCTAGACACACTAGACATTCTAGACACACGAGACATTCTAGACACACGAGACATTCTAGACACACGAGACATTCTAGACAAACGAGACATTCTAGACACAAGAGACATTCTAGACACAAGAGACATTCTAGACACACTAGACATTCTAGTGTCTAGAAACAAGAGATATTCAAGAAAGTTTAGATGGGAGACTATAATGCGAGGAAGGCTGTAATTATGTAAATAAGAATTTTTTTCTTTGCCCCCTGGGATCTCGTCTGGATTGACAACTTTGTTTGGAGACAGCAACCACTTTCTGACGATCTAGAGACAGCAACCACTTTCTGACGACCTAGAGACACCAACCACTTTCTGACGACCTCGTCTAGAGACAGCAACCACTTTCTGACGACCTAGAGACACCAACCACTTTCTGACGACCTAGAGACACCAACCACTTTCTGACGACCTAGTCTAGTGACAGCAACCACTTTCTGACGACCTCGTCTAGAGACACCAACCACTTTCTGACGACCTCGAGACAGCAACCACTTTCTGACGACCTAGAGACACCAACCACTTTCTGACGACCTCGTCTAGAGACACCAACCACTTTCTGACGACCTAGAGACGGCAACCACTTTCTGACGACCTAGAGACAGCAACCACTTTCTGACGACCTAGAGACGGCAACCACTTTCTGACGACCTAGTCTAGAGACAGCAACCACTTTCTGACGACCTAGTCTAGAGACAGCAACCACTTTCTGACGACCTAGTCTAGAGACAGCAACCACTTTCTGACGACCTAGTCTAGAGACAGCAACCACTTTCTGACGACCTAGAGATAGCAACCACTTTCTGACGACCTAGAGACAGCAACCACTTTCTGACGACCTAGAGACAGCAACCACTTTCTGACGACCTAGAGACAGCAACCACTTTCTGACGACCTAGTCTAGAGACAGCAACCACTTTCTGACGACCTAGAGACAGCAACCACTTTCTGACGACCTAGAGACAGCAACCACTTTCTGACGACCTAGTCTAGAGACAGCAACCACTTTCTGACGACCTAGAGACAGCAACCACTTTCTGACGACCTAGAGACAGCAACCACTTTCTGACGACCTAGAGACAGCAACCACTTTCTGACGACCTAGAGACAGCAACCACTTTCTGACAACCTAGAGACAGCAACCACTTTCTGACGACCTAGAGACAGCAACCACTTTCTGACGACCTAGAGACAGCAACCACTTTCTGACGACCTAGAGACAGCAACCACTTTCTGACGACCTAGTCTAGAGACAGCAACCACTTTCTGACGACCTAGAGACGGCAACCACTTTCTGACGACCTAGAGACAGCAACTACTTTCTGACGACCTAGTCTAGAGACAGCAACCACTTTCTGACGACCTAGAGACAGCAACCACTTTCTGACGACCTAAAGACGGCAACCACTTTCTGACGACCTAGAGACAGCAACTACTTTCTGACGACCTAGAGACAGCAACCACTTTCTGACGACCTAGAGACAGCAACCACTTTCTGACGACCTAGAGACAGCAACCACTTTCTGACGACCTAGAGACAGCAACCACTTTCTGACGACCTAGTCTAGTGACAGCAACCACTTTCTGACGACCTAGAGACAGCAACCACTTTCTGACGACCTAGTCTAGAGACAGCAACCACTTTCTGACGACCTAGAGACAGCAAACACTTTCTGACGACCTAGAGACGGCAACCACTTTCTGACGACCTAGAGACAGCAACCACTTTCTGACAACCTAGAGACAGCAACCACTTTCTGACGACCTAGAGACAGCAACCACTTTCTGACGACCTAGAGACAGCAACCACTGTCTGACGACCTAGAGACAGCAACCACTTTCTGACGACCTAGAGACAGCAACTACTTTCTGACGACCTAGTCTAGAGACAGCAACCACTTTCTGACGACCTAGAGACAGCAACCACTTTCTGACGACCTAGCCTAGAGACAGCAACCACTTTCTGACGACCTAGAGACAGCAACCACTTTCTGACAACCTCGTCTAGAGACAGCAACCACTTTCTGACGACCTAGAGACAGCAACCACTGTCTGACGACCTAGAGACAGCAACCACTTTCTGACGATCTAGTCTAGTGACAGCAACCACTTTCTGACGACCTAGAGACACCAACCACTTTCTGACGACCTAGAGACAGCAACCACTTTCTGACGACCTCGTCTAGAGACAGCAACCACTTTCTGACGACCTAGAGACAGCAACCACTTTCTGACGACCTAGAGACAGCAACCACTTTCTGACGACCTAGTCTAGAGACAGCAACCACTTTCTGACGACCTAGAGACACCAACCACTTTCTGACGACCTAGTCTAGAGACAGCAACCACTTTCTGACGACCTCGCCTAGAGACAGCAACCACTTTCTGACGACCTAGAGACAGCAACCACTTTCTGACGACCTAGAGACAGCAACCACTTTCTGACGACCTAGAGACAGCAACCACTTTCTGACGACCTAGTCTAGAGACAGCAACCACTTTCTGACGACCTAGAGACAGCAACCACTTTCTGACGACCTAGAGACAGCAACCACTTTCTGACGACCTAGAGACAGCAACCACTTTCTGACGACCTAGAGACAGCAACCACTTTCTGACGACCTAGTCAAAAAATGAATTTAAAATATTATCTAGATCCCGAGTTGCCAACCCCCGTAGTGTTTTATAAGAATATTCGAGAAAGTTTAGGGGAGATCACTCCCGGTTTATTTTAAATTCATTTTTAAGTGCTTAAACTTTTTAAAAAATAGAATAAAACCTCGTAGAAAAAAGAATTTCACACCAAGAAAACGCAAAAAAAAATGTGTATAGTAGTGCGGAATATTATTAGTACTTTATAAATTTACATGCGTTTTTTTAGAAATCGGAAATAACGAAAATTACTACTTTCGGTCAACGGAAATTACTCAAAAGACGACAGAGAGAATTAGAGCTCTTACTTACATGTGAAATTTCATTTATCTATCTGAAAAAGTACTCAAGTTATAGGCTTTTGAAAAATTGAAAGTAGAAAAAGTTCCACTTCCGGTTATTAGAAATCACTCAAAAGTTGATACGGATCTACGATTTTGATAAAATACTTATATATGAAATTTCATTAACCTAGCTGTAACGGTACTCAAGTTATCGTGTTTACACACGGACACACACACACACACACACACACACGCACACGCATGCACACACACACACATATGGACAAGATTGCAAAACTATGTTTTTTCGACTCAGGGAGGTGTAAAACGTCGAGATTTGCAAAAGTCGTTTTTTTTTGCACGATTACTATACTTTCTCTATACTTCGTACATACGAGACAGTAAAAAGTTCATTAAAAATTTATAAAAAAAAAACGTTTTAATAACAAGCTTTTATGTACTAATGCACTAAAAAGTAGAAAACAAATCATACACTACTATTTAAATAACTATAAAGAAAAGCGTGGGTCACTTTAGTATCTATTGGATACCTTTACTAATGTTTAGGAAGAGACCCACGCTTTTCTTTCTAGTTATTTAAATAATAGTCTATAATTTATTTTAGAGTTGCATGACTAAAAACCATTGCGCACGTAATGAACGTGGTGACGCTGTCTAATAGTCGGAATGGTATGATGAGACAGTCTACTAATTTGGACAAAATTTTAAAATCTAATGAGGCAACCAATTAAGTCAAGTTTAATGTCATGTTGCATTGTCTTCATGTCTCTTTAGTCATGCAACTCTATGGTTCATACAAAAATTTAAAGTACTCAAAAAAATATGCAGTGTAAATATGATTGTTAAAATAAACCGGTAGTGATCTCCCCTAAACTTTCTCGAATATTCTTATATAAAACAACAGGGGATGGTAACTGGGGATATAGTTATGATTTTTAATCCATTGTAAATACTTAAACTTTTAAAAATAGAATAGAATCTCATAAAAAAAACATTGCGCACCAAGCAAACGCCGAATAAAAACGCGTATAATAGTGCGCAATATTATTAGTACTTTAAAAATTTACATTAGTTTTTTGAGAAATCGGAAGTAGCGTAAATTACTACTTCCAGTCAACGGAAATTACTCAAAATTTAACAGAAGGTAGAGAATTAGATCTTTTACTTACATGTGAAATTTCATTTATCTATCTGAAATAGTACTCAAGTTATAGGCTTTTGAAAAATTCAAAGTAGGAAAAGTACCACTTCCGGTTATCGGAAATCGCTCAAAAGTTGATACGGATCTACGATTTTGATAAAATACTTATATATGAAATTTCATCAACCTAGCTGTAACGGTACTCAAGTTATCGTGTTTACACACAGACACACACACGGACAGACACACACACACACAGACATACGGACAAGATTGCAAAATTATGTTTTTCCGTATCAGTGAGGTGTAAAACGTCGAGATTTGTAAAAATCTCGATTTTTTTTTTGCACGATTACAATACTTTCTCTATACTACGTATATACGAGAAAGTAAAAATCAAATACAACGTTTTTTATTACAAGCTTTTATGTAATAATGCATTAAAAAGTAGAAAATAACCTATACACTATTAATTAAATAACTACAAAAAAGCGTGCGTCACTTTATTATCTAATATTTAGGAAGAGACCCATGCTTTTCTTTATAGTTATTTAAATAGTAGGTAATATTTATACTTTATTTTCTACTTTTTAGTGCATTATTACCTAAAATCTTGTAATTAAAACGTTTTTTTGTGAATTTTTTTTTCAGTAATTTAATTTGAAAAAATCTATATATATAATTCTCTTCTGGGATCAGTTAGAAAACAAGCTGCAAGCGCGCCTTTGCAGTCCCCTCTCTTCCTCTCTATCACTATCACTACCACCCCCACCCCACCCCCACATGATCTGGTGAGCGGTGTTCACTCTGTTTACATTTTACAATCATAGAGACGGGTTTGGTGACGGCTATTAGGGGCAGATAATTGAGTTTGAAACGATTTTAAACTTAGAGGAGGTAACTAAGAGGAGGCTGCTTTCACGTGGGGGGGGGGGGGGGGGTTAGTGTTTTTAAGCAAATATTTTCAATGGCAGCATTGGTACTGTCGAATTCATAAATTATAAATTACTGAAAAGTAGAAAAAAACAACAACTAAATAGCGGCGTATGATACGCAGCGGGTCGGCTCGTTTACAATACAGTTGCAAGATAAATAAACCGGGAGTGATCTCCCATAAACTCTCTAGAATATTCTTATATAAAACAACAGGGGATGGGAACTCGGGAAATAGACATGATTTTTAATCAATTTTAAATACTTAAAATTTTAAAAAATAGCATAGAATCTCGTAGAAAAAAGAATTGTACACCAAGTGAACACACAAACATACGGACGAAATTGCAAAACTATGTTTTTCCAACTCAGAGAAGTGTAAAACGTCGAGATTCTCTTTACTTTGTATATACGAGAAAGTAAAAACCATGCGCACATAATGAACGTGATGAAGCGTGTCTATTAGTGTGGAATAGCTTAATAAGACACAGAGGCGTAGCAAGGGGGGGGAGAGGGGGGGGTGCGGACCGCACCGGGTGACACAATTCAGGGGGGGGGTGACACCAATGCAAGAAATAGCAAAATATATAAATAAAATTTTGAGGGGGGGGGGGTGCAAATTGAAATTTTGAGGGGGGGGGGGGGGTGCAAATTGAAATTTTGAGGGGGGGGGGGTGCAAATCAAAAGTTTGAAAGTTTGTCCCCGGGAAGGGTCGCTACGCCTCTGGGGGTGACACCATTAAGTGCCGCACCGGGTGACACCCGACCTCGCTACGCCACTGATGAGACAGCCTACTAATTTGGACACAATTTTAATTAATTCATAAAAAATTAATCAGGCAACCAATTAAGTCAAATTTAATGCCATTTTGCACTGTCTTCTTGTCTTGATCCACATGCCAACGTTGAAACAAATCTGTCATTTAGAAGTGTCCAAAATTTCGCTCGGGCGTTTCGATCTAGACAGACTGACGACAGAGACAGTGAGTTAAATAAAAGCTTATAAAAATCAGCCTAACTTTATTATCATTTACAAAAATTATAATTTTACCTGAACAAAATTGTATAAATTACTTCCCTTTACGTGGCAGATACATTACAAAAATATAATTACGTTTAAAAATTTGCAAATTTGTGTTTGTGCTTATATATATAAATATAAAGACCTAATTACAGTGACGTCATTTTCTTTTTCAGTAGTCTCTGGCGGCGAGCAGGCCCCGCGGAACATCCGGCTCGGATCCTTCCTGCCCATGGGGTCGAGGACAAGCGACGCGTTCTCTGACGAGAATCACGACCACTTTGTCGGCGTCTGGCACTGCAAGTTCAAGACTCCCAAGTTCCTAAAGCGGCTCCGATTTCCTGCGACAATCGAACCTCACAGTAACTGATTCACACATGACCTATTCGACCTCGTAATTTACAGTAAATCATTCACACGTTTGGACACCCGGGCAGCCAAACGAAAGTCTCGAATACCGTTATATGGTTCTAGTGTGTTGGGCTTTCCTGAGTTCACACTGCTCTAATGGGTACCTGACACACAATTAGGAATAGTAAAGTCACCTGGGCATAGAACTGTCCACTCTGATCTCATATGCCAAGATCTTAGGAGTGGTTGATCTCTACCTTATCCGTCAGGTCAGAAAGTGTCACATTGTTTGAATTCCATCAGAAATGAAATCTAGCAGGGAGAAATACTTTCATTGACATTATATCATTTCATGTGACCTGTCACTTCATTCTTCTGACATGCCATTTCATGCCAACAGGTAAAACATATGTCACGTGGCTCTTTTTCGTGGCCTTGGCCTTCATGTACAACGCCGTGGTGATCCCCCTGCGTGGGGTCTTCCCCTACCAAACCGACGACAATGTCCGCTACTGGCTCATCGCTGACTACATATGTGATTTCATCTATCTCATCGACATTTGTCTTTTCAAAGTTAGACTTCGTTTCGCTAATGACGGGATCGTTGAGGTGAGTCTAGGGTCAGGACAGGGACAAACATGTAGGCGTTGAATGTCTAGGGTCAGGACGGTGGAAGGGACAAACCTGTAGACGTTGAATGTCTAGGGTCAGGACAGGGACAAACCTGTAGGCGTTGAATGTCTAGGGTCAGGACGGTGGAAGGGACAAACCTGTAGGCGTTGAATGTCTAGGGTCAGGACAGGGACAAACCTGTAGGCGTTGAATGTCTAGGGTCAGGACAGGGACAAACCTGTAGGCGTTGAATGTCTAGGGTCAGGACGGTGAAAGGGACAAACCTGTCGGCGTTGAATGTCTAGGGTCAGGACAGGGACAAACCTGTAGACGTTGAATGTCTAGGGTCAGGACAGGGACAAACATGTAGACGTTGAATGTCTAGGGTCAGGACAGGGACAAACATGTAGACGTTGAATGTCTAGGGTCAGGACGGTGGAAGGGACAAACCTGTCGGCGTTGAATGTCTAGGGTCAGGACAGGGACAAACCTGTAGACGTTGAATGTCTAGGGTCAGGACAGGGACAAACATGTAGACGTTGAATGTCTAGGGTCAGGACAGGGACAAACATGTAGACGTTGAATGTCTAGGGTCAGGACAGGGACAAACATGTAGACGTTGAATGTCTAGGGTCAGGACAGGGACAAACCTGTCGGCGTTGAATGTCTAGGGTCAGGACAGGGACAAACCTGTAGACGTTGAATGTCTAGGGTCAGGACAGGGACAAACCTGTAGGCGTTGAATGTCTAGGGTCAGGACGGTGGAAGGGACAAACCTGTAGGCGTTGAATGTCTAGGGTCAGGACAGGGACAAACCTGTCGGCGTTGAATGTCTAGGGTCAGGACAGGGACAAATCTGTAGACGTTGAATGTCTAGGGTCAGGACGATGGAAGGGACAAACCTGTAGGCGTTGAATGTCTAGGGTCAGGACAGGGACAAACCTGTCGGCGTTGAATGTCTAGGGTCAGGACAGGGACAAACCTGTAGACGTTGAATGTCTAGGGTCAGGACGGTGGAAGGGACAAACCTGTAGGCGTTGAATGTCTAGGGTCAGGACAGGGACAAACATGTAGGCGTTGAATGTCTAGGGTCAGGACAGGGACAAACCTGTAGGCGTTGAATGTCTAGGGTCAGGACAGGGACAAACCTGTCGGCGTTGAATGTCTAGGGTCAGGACAGGGACAAACCTGTAGACGTTGAATGTCTAGGGTCAGGACAGGGACAAACCTGTAGGCGTTGAATGTCTAGGGTCAGGACAGGGACAAACCTGTAGGCGTTGAATGTCTAGGGTCAGGACAGGGACAAACCTGTAGGCGTTGAATGTCTAGGGTCAGGACAGGGACAAACCTGTAGACGTTGAATGTCTAGGGTCAGGACGGTGGAAGGGACAAACCTGTAGGCGTTGAATGTCTAGGGTCAGGACAGGGACAAACCTGTAGGCGTTGAATGTCTAGGGTCAGGACAGGGACAAACCTGTCGGCGTTGAATGTCTAGGGTCAGGACAGGGACAAACCTGTAGACGTTGAATGTCTAGGGTCAGGACAGGGACAAACCTGTAGGCGTTGAATGTCTAGGGTCAGGACAGGGACAAACATGTAGACGTTGAATGTCTAGGGTCAGGACAGGGACAAACATGTAGGCGTTGAATGTCTAGGGTCAGGACGATGGAAGGGACAAACCTGTAGACGTTGAATGTCTAGGGTCAGGACAGGGACAAACCTGTCGGCGTTGAATGTCTAGGGTCAGGACAGGGACAAACCTGTAGACGTTGAATGTCTAGGGTCAGGACAGGGACAAACCTGTAGGCGTTGAATGTCTAGGGTCAGGACAGGGACAAACCTGTAGGCGTTGAATGTCTAGGGTCAGGACAGGGACAAACATGTAGACGTTGAATGTCTAGGGTCAGGACAGGGACAAACATGTAGACGTTGAATGTCTAGGGTCAGGACAGGGACAAACATGTAGACGTTGAATGTCTAGGGTCAGGACGGTGGAAGGGACAAACCTGTAGGCGTTGAATGTCTAGGGTCAGGACGGTGGAAGGGACAAACCGGTAGACGTTGAATGTCTAGGGTCAGGACGATGGAAGGGACAAACCTGTAGGCGTTGAATGTCTAGGGTCAGGACAGGGACAAACCTGTCGGCGTTGAATGTCTAGGGTCAGGACAGGGACAAATCTGTAGACGTTGAATGTCTAGGGTCAGGACGATGGAAGGGACAAACCTGTAGGCGTTGAATGTCTAGGGTCAGGACAGGGACAAACCTGTCGGCGTTGAATGTCTAGGGTCAGGACAGGGACAAACCTGTAGACGTTGAATGTCTAGGGTCAGGACAGGGACAAACCTGTCGGCGTTGAATGTCTAGGGTCAGGACAGGGACAAACCTGTAGGCGTTGAATGTCTAGGGTCAGGACAGGGACAAACATGTAGAGGTTGAATGTCTAGGGTCAGGACAGGGACAAACCTGTAGACGTTGAATGTCTAGGGTCAGGACAGGGACAAACCTGTCGGCGTTGATGGTAATCTGCAGGTGGTGATCTAACTGATACTTCATCTCCTTTACAGACTAATAGAGCAGCGATCAGACAGCATTACATGAAGAAATGGATGTTTAAGGTTAGTGAACATAAGGATGCTTTATCTTAGGAAACATCAATATGTTTAAGGATAGTATAAACCAAGATGTTTTAGGTTAGTAGGTATCTGGATCTTTAACTTGACTTAGTCCTCTTTGCTCCTTATGGAACATAGGGCCTCCACCATATCCTTATGGAACATAAGGCCTCCACCATATCCTTATGGAACATAGGGCCTCCACCATATCCTTATGGATCATAAAGCCTCCACCATATCCTTATGGATCATAAAGCCTCCACCATATCCTTATGGAACATAAGGCCTCCACCATATCCTTATGGAACATAGGGCCTCCACCATATCCTTATGGATCATAAAGCCTCCACCATATCCTTATGGATCATAAAGCCTCCACCATATCCTTATGGAACATAGGGCCTCCACCATATCCTTATGGAACATAAGGCCTCCACCATATCCTTATGGAACATAGGGCCTCCACCATATCCTTATGGAACATAAGGCCTCCACCATATCCTTATGGAACATAGGGCCTCCACCATATCCTTTTTGTCCGACCCCAAGACATCCCTGTGGGCTTCAATTCATCGAGTAGGCTCCGCCTCCAGGTCTGCCTTTGATGCCTTATCTTCCGCTTTCCCTTGGGATTCCACTCGCTAGCAGCTGGCGTGTCACATTAGAGTTAGTCGTTCGCAGTGTGTGTCCCACCCAGCGCCACTTTGTACTTTACGCTAGTGAATATCTACCATATATATCTTGATGTTTAATATCATTGAACATATGGGTGTTTGACAGCCTGTACTGTAATCGATTGACCAGACAAAATGCTATTCTCAACAGTTTGACATCATGTCATTGATGCCACTTGATCTGTTCTATTTGATCCAAGATGTTGGTGTCAACTCCTGGCTCAGATTGCCACGAATGTTAAAGGTCAGTACAAGGTCATCTTAATCACTTTGATGAAGGTCAAGTTGGTAGGTACTTAAATTTGTTGAAAGTCAAATATTGCAAGTTTTTGAAGGTCATATATTGCTAGTTGTTGAAGGTCATATATTGCTAGTCGTTGAAGGTCATATATTGCTAGTTGTTGAAGGTCATATATTGCCCCTTGTTTGCAGATCCAAACCTACTGGGAGTTCTATGAACGCTGTGACCAGGCTTCAAGGTCCTCCGCTCACGCAATCAGGTATGTGCAGATGTGTGTACTGTCTATCTACCTGCGCACGAGATGGCATACCTGTCAGGTAGTTGTTAGACTAAAAGACAGGCAGGTTGTGGGTGGCTGGCTAGTTGTTAGACTAAAAGAGGCAGATTGTGGGTGGCTGGCTTAGTGTACCCTAGGTTGGGAAGGTGTAGGTGTAGGAAAATCTTAGCTATTTATCTTTTTAAGTATTTCGGAAAGTTAGACGACATGTATTCTTCTACTAAAATATGCAGAATGGACTATTTCTTCCCATGCATACATGCAGACATATACCAAGAAAGTCACGCAGGCATAAACAAACACACATTTTACAATAACGCTGATTGATGAGTTTTATGTGTGCAAAATTTGTGCGGAATTGTCTGTGCGCGGAATTTTTTGTGTGCGTAAATATGTCTCTTTGTGGCACATTTTCTTTTTCTTCACAATTTTGTTTGCACAAATTCCCATTGCCTTTTTTTCCGTTGCACATTTTTGTTGTGCACTTTTCTGGGAACTCAACCATATGTATGCCTCTCTCAATTGGATACAAAATATTATAAAATTGAGGTAATAGAGTACGCCTGATCAAGATAACACCAATCGGTATCGTGATATTTATATATCGTGACCTCAGGATTTTTTGTCCAAAAAATTATTCCACACACGGAAAATAATGTAGTAGGTGTCCTGACATCGTATACCAAATTTCATCTCCATCAGTCAAGAATTATGCAAATTATGACATGTGTAAAAAAAATGTACAACGTGTCACATTAGAGTAAAATGTCAGTAACACCTGATGCTATTTACAAATTATTAGAATCTGGTGGAATCTAAAAGTAATTAAATAAATGTTTTACATTTTGGAATATTTTCTACAAATTAAAGTCAATGTTAAAAATGTAAAGCAATTTAAATAAATCGGGAGTGATCTCCCCTAAACTTTCTCGAATATTCTTATATAAAACAACAGGGGATGGCAACTCGGGATATAGACATGATTTTTAATCCATTTTAAGTACTTAAACTTTTTAAAATAGAATAGAATCTCATAGAAAAAAGAATTGCACACCAAGCGAACGTCAAAACTCGTCAGTCTGTCGTCAGTCTGTCGTCTGTCTAGATCGAAACGCCGGAGTGAAAATTCGGACACTTCTACTTGACCGATACGATTCACATTTCGCACGTGGGTCAAGACATGAAGACAATGAAATCTGAAATTAAATTTGACTTAAGTGGATGCCTAATTAATTTTTTTATGAATTATTTAAAATTTTGACCGAATTAGTAGGCATTTCTATCCAACCACACCACACGCGTCATCACGTTCAATAGCGCGTCATCACTTTCAATAGGCGCGCAATGGTTTTTAGTCATGAAACTCTATTGTAAATAAAAACATGTAAAGTACACAATTTTTTTTCATAAAAACGTTTTAATAACAAACTTTTATGTACTAATGCACTAAACAGGAGAAAATAAAGTATAGACTACTATTTAAATAACTATAAAGAAAAGCGTGGGTCTCTTCCTAAACATTAGTAAAGGTATCCAATAGATACCAAAATGAACCACTCTTTTCTTTATAGTTATTTAAATAGTAGTCTTTAATTTTCTACTTTTCAGTGCATTAGTACATAAAAGCTTGTCATTAAAACGTTTTTTTATGAAATTTTTTCACCTTTTTAATGCATTATTACATAAAAACGTTTTATAAGGATTTTTTTATTTATGCATTTTATGCAATCATATTTACAATGCTTATATTTCAGTATATATTGAAAGTTTTCTGACGAACATTTTTGTATAAGGCTATTGGTCTGAATTCTACCAGGTCCGAAAAAGTGCACTATATCTAGTATGCACATGTTTTACCATAAACTTTTTTTTCTATATGAGCCATCAAAATTCCCTCGCGAATAAAGTTTCATTATTACATTGAAAATAAATACAGAAAATATGGTGGGAATTTTATTAAAAATTTAAAAAAAGTATTTGGCATTTTAGTGTAAAAAAATTGCGAACTGAGAAAACAGAAAAAAAATCAAAACTAGAATAGAAAAACACAATTTCTGTGTGATTAGTAAAGCCAGTTGAAAGCTTTGAATGTGCTCGATTTGACGGAAATTACAAATATCGAATACACTAGAATTCCAGCTTTCCAATAATGCCAAAAATAATGCCGGCTGCCAAACATTTCGTAGCGACCGTGTGTTATTCGAAAATCTTATTGATCTTTAATACATAGGGTTATAAAATATTTTTAAAAATTCAATCTTTTTTTCTCATTTAAGTTTTTATTTTCTGAATTAAGAATTGGACAAAGAATCCAAAATGGGAAAAACACATTATGACAAAAAATATGAATTTCGGTGATTTGTATCTTGCGCATATGCCCTTAAAATCATAGGTAATTTATTTAGAATTTTTTACATACACTCATGATTCTAATACTTTGTCAATTTTTTATTTAAGAAAATAATAACTTTAATAAGAAAAAAATTGTGTGTGTTTAAAATACCAATTTACGACCATATTAATTAAAAACTAATAAATTTTCCAAATCTTACAAGCTCTCTATGAAAAGTTTTATGCCCGTCATTATACTGTATTTGCATCATTGGAAAGCTGGATTTCTCATGCATTTGATAATCTTAATTTCCATCATCTCGGAAACACCCAAAGCTTACAATCGGACTTCCAGTTTACACAGATATAGTATTTTCATGACCTAAATTTTCTTTACTTTTGGTTGTTTTTCTCAGTTCGCACGCTTTTAACACTTAAAAGCCTGCTTGTTTTTAATTTGATAAACAATGCCCACCATATTTTCAGTAATTGTACCTCATGCGAAAATACAACTTTTGTCACGAGTGAATTTTGATGGCTTTTATAGAAAAAAGTATTTGGTAATTAATATGCAAATTTTGAAACTTTTAAATACTAAAAAGGCTACGATATTTTAGACATTGTGAAATTCTTACTAGTAGCTATTTCAAACAGTTGTCGTGACAAAATTTTTAATATATACTGAAATATAAGTTGTTAAAATTTGATTGCTATAAGTGCATAAATAAAAAAAAAGCCATAACATTTTTTAAAAGTACCGAAAAATTAAAAATGGCGGAGGTTTTTTGGGTAACCATGACGACCAAAATTGTTTTCAACCTTTATTTGCTGCTTAATACTTACTTTCATGTGCCAAACATGATAACAGTATTCAAAAGGCTTTAGATCTTAAATGGTAAAAAAAATAGAAAAAAAACTAGCATATCCCCTTAGGCTTAATGAATAGTTCAATTGTTTATTCAACAGCACGGGAAATCTATGATGGCATATCTAGAAAGAAGGCTAAGCCCCCTACTGTTATTAAAATTTATATTTTAGTTTTGAAGCTTGAGGGAAATAAGACATACAAAGTTGTGGATTCATAGTTTAAAAAAAACGTCCACCCCCTCTCTCCCCCACAACAGTTATCAATCTGATAAATTTATTAGGAAAGTAAAATAGCTTGCATCGACGACTGCATCACTTGAGGAGACCAAGTCTTTATTGGAATAAATTGCAAATTCACTAAGTTTACATAATTTTTTCCCCTGTACAATAGCACTTTGACTAAAGTTATCTCTGCCTTCCACTAATTTTAAAAGGAAAGCTATGTTGTACATTCTCTACTTATTCTATCATTCAATGCCAAGTTGTCAAATATTTGTATTAGCTGTAGCCATTCATGTACTCCCGATTATTTTTTGGGTACAATTGGAGATGTTTAACGTAATTTTAATTTTTATACAGTTATATACTATGTCAGCAAAGAACATATTATTTTGGTTAACTGTCTCATCATTTTGGTATCTGAAATTCTACTTAATATACATTTTAAAAATGTAGTTCTTTTTAAGTTTTTTTTTTTATTTTGCAATTTTGTCATTTTCCACTTGTTTTTTTTTTTCGAAAAATAAAAACGACCATAACGTTTTTTTTTGTAGTTTTAAATGACTTTAAAAAAAAAGAGATTAATTTTTTATGACTGGAAAAATGAGCCGGGAGATTACATAGTTTGAAGCAATTTTACCAATTTCTGCACTTCATTTTTATCTTTGAAAATATTGGTTCTAAAATTGACATTTTTGAAGATAGGTTTTGTATTAGCAATTTTTGTCCTTTTAAAAATCATTTATTTATTGAGATATTTTCATAACGTTTGTGTCATGGGGGTAAGAGTAAAAAGTTCTTTCAGGAGAAACTCGCTATGGATGTCTACAATAAATAGTTAATTTCGTTTTGGACTACCTAACATTAGAATGTGTGATATTTATTTCTCTTTCTTTCAATATACGATGCACTCAATGAAAAGTATTGATGTCCCTCGTTGAAAATGAAGGAAACGCAACTTTATCTACGAAGAAATGGGCGCGTCATTTCTTAACAAAATTGGGTGGACAAATCGTACATTATACGTTGCTACTATTGGTTTCATTTCTAAGTTTTAAAGAGTCATCTATTCACAAATCCTGAGTAAATCCTTCAGATTTACGTTGGCAAAAAAGCACCACCCCCCCCCCCCCCGCTTCCAACCAAATCTTGGAAATTCACTTACAAACTCTAACACACACATTCCACAGACACACACACAGACACACACACACACTCAAACGCATTCATACACTTGCCACATACACAAACTGACACAATGCCGTGTTTGACTCGCCACAGACACAAACTGACACACACACAAACTGACACAATGTCGTGTTTGACTCGCCACAGACACAAACTGACACAATGCCGTGTTTGACTCGCCACAGACACAAACTGACACACACACAAACTGACACAGACACAAACTGACACAGACACAAACTGACACAATGCCGTGTTTGACTCGCCACAGACACAAACTGACACACACACAAACTGACACAGACACAAACTGACACAGACACAAACTGACACAGACACAAACTGACACAATGCCGTGTTTGACTCGCCACAGACACAAACTGACACACACACAAACTGACACACACACAAACTGACACAGACACAAACTGACACAATGCCGTGTTTGCATACAGGATCGTGAAGACTATGGCCTACATGTTGTTTCTCATTCACATCGAGACGTGCGGCTACTACGCCATGTCCGTTCACGAGGGCATCGGATCCAACGAGTGGGTTTATAACGGCAAAGGCATCGCGTAAGTCATGTGTCCTACTTGTTCCTAAACTGTTTAAATTGTAATTTTTTCAACGTTTTAATACTTTCAATTTGATCTTGTTCCTAAACTGTTCAAATTTTAATCTTCTCAACGTTTTAAAACTTTTAATTTGATCTTGTTCCTAAACTGTTCAAATTTTAATCTTCTCAACGTTTTAAAACTTTTAATTTGATCTTGTTCCTAAACTGTTCAAATTTTAATCTTCTCAACGTTTTAAAACTTTTAATTTGATCTTGTTCCTAAACTGTTCAAATTTTAATCTTCTCAACGTTTTAAAACTTTTAATTTGATCTTGTTCCTAAACTGTTCAAATTTTAATCTTCTCAACGTTTTAAAACTTTTAATTTGATCTTGTTCCTAAACTGTTCAAATTTTAATCTTCTCGACGTTTTAAAACTTTTAATTTGATCTTGTTCCTAAACTGTTCAAATTTTAATCTTCTCAACGTTTTAAAACTTTTAATTTGATCTTGTTTCTAAACTGTTCAAATTTTAATCTTCTCAACGTTTTAAAACTTTTAATTTGATCTTGTTCCTAAACTGTTCAAATTTTAATCTTCTCAACGTTTTAAAACTTTTAATTTGATCTTGTTCCTAAACTGTTCAAATTTTAATCTTCTCAACGTTTTAAAACTTTTAATTTGATCTTGTTCCTAAACTGTTCAAATTTTAATCTTCTCAACGTTTTAAAACTTTTAATTTGATCTTGTTCCTAAACTGTTCAAATTTTAATCTTCTCAACGTTTTAAAACTTTTAATTTGATCTTGTTCTTAAACTGTTCAAATTTTAATCTTCTCAACGTTTTAAAACTTTTAATTTGATCTTGTTCCTAAACTGTTCAAATTTTAATCTTCTCAACGTTTTAAAACTTTTAATTCGACTTTGTTTCTAAACTGTTATAACTTTGATCTTATGAATTACAAATATGATTAGCAACAATTACATTAGTGGCTGTATTTTGTGTCACTACACCGTTTATACTTAGATTTATCGTGGTAATTATAGAGGGCGTATACAGACACACACATGGCAATATGCAGACACAGGGTTATAGTTAGAAATTGACGATCCCGCAACATTACTTCTAGGTTTTCTAGAGTTTTCACAACATTACCTCCAGGTTGAGTTTTTTATTTGCAGATGTTTTCAATTCCCCAGATACATTCGCTGTTTTTATCTGGCCACTAAAACAGCGACATCTATCGGCAACAACCCGACCCCCCAAAACATGAATGAATATATGTTTATGACTTTTTATTGGTTGTCTGGGGTTTTTGTTTTTGCAATGTTGATCGGTCAGGTAAATTTTTATATAGTAAATTTATAGCCTCCCCAGGTATATCCGCTGTTTTTTATGTAGTAACTATAGCTTCCCCAGGTATATCCGCTGTTTTTTATGTAGTAAATATGGCTTCCCCAGGTATATCCGCTGTTTTTTTATGTAGTAACTATGGCTTCAACAGGTATATCCGCTGTTTTTTATGTAGTAAATATGGCTTCCCCAGGTATATCCGCTGTTTTTTTATGTAGTAACTATGGCTTCAACAGGTATATCCGCTGTTTTTTATGTAGTAACTATGGCTTCCCCAGGTATATCCGCTGTTTTTTGTAGTAACTATGGCTTCACCAGGTATATTCGCTGTTTTTTATGTAGTAACTATGGATTCCTCAATTATATCCGCTGTTGCTGTTTTCTTTATTGTAGTAACTATGGCTTCCCCAGGTATATTCGCTGTTTTTATTTGGCTACGAAAACAGCCACGTCGATTGGAAACAACCCGACTCCACAAAACATTAAGGAATATCTCTTCATGACCGTCTACTGGCTCTCTGGGGTCTTTGTTTTTGCTTTACTCATCGGCCAGGTAATCACACACATTTCACCTCTCAAAACTCACAATTTTCTACCTTTCGAAAATTACTCGAAAAATTCTGATCAAATGATTTTAAATGAGAATTTTCAAAATTCAAATGCCACGTTTCCAAAAGCAACAAGCCTTAAAATTTGCCATTGTCAAAATATTGCTTTTTGTTTTACAAGCTTTTATTTAATTTGCTTCCTCGTCCAGTCTGTCGACAGTCTGTCTATCTGTCGTCATAGATTGAAAAGCACGAGCAAAATTTCGGGCACTTCTAACAGACGGATTCATTTAAAAGTTGACACGTGGGTCAAGACATAAAGACAATGCAGTTTGACATTACATTTTACTTAATTGGATACTTAATTAATTTTTTATGAATTAATTAAAATGTTATCCAACTATTCCGCATCATTATACGGCGTTTTCATGTTCATTAGGTACGCAATATTTTTTAGTCATGCAACTCTATTGAAAATTAAAAAATTTAAAGTACTGAAAAAGAATAATTTAAAAAACGTTTTAATAAGTTTTATGTAATAATGCACTAAAAAGTAGAAAATAAACTCTTTAAATATACAATAGTACATAACTATTTAAATAACTATAAAGAAGAGCGTGGGTCTCTTCCTAAATATTGGTAAAGGTATCCAATAGATAATAAAGTAACCCATGCTGTTCTTTAGTTTTTAAATAGTAGTGTATTATGTATTTCAACAAAATCATTTGATTTGTCATTTTTAGTGCATTATTACGTAAAAGCTTGTTGTTGGCGTAAATTTGTTTTCAAAATATTTTTAAATGTTTTCCGGTATTCACCGCAGCTATAAATAGATATATGTGCCACTTACATTGCTTTTAGTGTAACTGTAGAGCTTTTGATTCAGTAGAAATTTTAGCGCTGTCTTCCAAGAAAATTATGACTTTAAAATTTCATAAATATCTTTATTCTACAGTAAATGTTTTTTATCCTATCGTAAACTAGCTTTATTCTAACAAAAATGTCTTTATTCTACCGTATACTGCTTTATCCTACCTAAATTGCTTTATTCAACCATAAAAAGCTTTATCGTACCATACATGGCTTTATCCTACGATAAATGTTTTTATCCTACTGTGTATCATCAGTATGCAATAGGGCAGATAGGTCATTGATCCATACATGAGATAGGTCATTGGCCCATCCCTCTGATAGGTCATTAGGGGTCATCCATAAATGACGTCACGCTTTTTTGGACGATTTTTACCACCCCCCTCCCCTCCGTCACACATCGTAACAAAAAGCTAGACCCCCCCCTAAAATGACGTCACACCTCAGCCTACAACCCCCCCCCCTTTTAAATTGCAGTTGAATTTTTTTTTAAACATGGATATTTTTCCAAAATATTGTCTGAACTCTGTCAAAATAGAGTATTTTAATCAATGGTTATTACAATTGATTAAAACAGTTTTCAAAAACGCGAAATAACGTCTAAAATTAGTTTTCTAATATTGCTTTTTTATAATACAAAGGTATGACGTAGCACCATCTGAACCTCCCCTCCCCCTCATCCTACACCGTCACAAAATTACGGACCCCCTCCCCCCTACGAGTGTGAAGTCATTTATGGACGACCCCTTAGCCCATCCATCAGAAAGGTCATTGGTCCATCCATTAGATAGGTCATTGGTCCATCCATCAGATAGGTCATTGGTCCGTCTATCAGATAGGTCATTGGTCCATCTATCAGATAGGTCATTGGTCCATCCATCAGATAGGTCATTGGTCCATCCATCAGATAGGTCATTGGCCCATCCATCAGATAGGTCATTGGTCCATCCATCATATAGGTCATTGGTCCATCCATCAGATAGGTCATTGGTCCATCCATCAGATCCGAGATATCGTTGAGGCAGCAGGGATGGTCAAGGACAACTACCGCAAGAAGATGGACTCGTGCCTGTGGTACATGCAGTCAATCAACCTGCCACAGGAGATGAAGGACAAGGTCAGGGAGTGGTTTCTCTACAACTGGAATCAGCAAAAGACGATCGGTAACACACACACACACACACACACACACACACACACACATATATATATATATATATATATATATATATATATATATATATATATATATATATATATCTAATATATAAAGCTCAATTCTGTATGTAATAAGTTTGTTTGTCGTTGACATACTTCTATGGATTTAAGTGTTAGACTATTAAAAAAAATAACAAAAATTCTAATTATGTCTGAAAATTATTTATATTTAGTCCTTTAGCACTTACTTCCCTTTGATAAATTAGGAAAACACAATTACTTCCCTTTATAAAACATTGCATTAGTGGAAAAGAATGTACTTTTTATTACTTTGCTTTGGTGTTGGGAAAAAAATAATTACATAATTAGCGGGGATTGATCAAGTGCAAATGTTGTAGGTATTTTACGAATAAGCTTGGAATATTATAATTGTTCATTTGGTTTGGTTTGGCACCTACGTTCGTTTAAGTGAGTGCAAAAGACTATGAATAAGTTGGGGTACTGTAGTCGATTATTAAGCTGAAACAGGCGATTCTGCCCCGGGCTAGACTGTGAGCACTTGGCGTTTATGTTCGCGTTAGTGTTTTCTTTGTGTTTAGGTTGGGTTTGCGTTAGTGGTTGCGTTTGGATTTGGTTTTTTTTCGTTTGCTTTTTCGTTTGTGTTTTTTTCTTTGGGTTTGTGTTTGTGGTTGGTTTTGCGTTTGGATTTGGTTTGTTTTCGTTTGCTTTTTCGTTTGTTTTTTTCTTTGTGTTCGTATTGGTGTTTGTGGTTGTGGTTGGGTTTGTTGTTAGGTTTTTGTTTTCGTTTGCTTTTTTGTTTGTTTTTTCTTTGTGTTTGTATTGGTGTTTGTGATGGTGGTTGGGTTTGTTAGGTTTTTGTTTTCGTTTGTATTTGTAATTGTGTTAGCATTATGTTTGCGTTTTGTTGTTTTGGTTGGTTGTGGTTTGGGTGGGCAATGCCGGGTTTATGATGATTACTAAACACACAGGTAATGGTCTTTTAACAGAAAGGTTTTTCACAGAAGCCAGAGCAGGGCCTGGCCGGGACGGCTAGTATATATATATATATATATATATATATATATATATATATATATATATATATATATATATAATGAAATGTACTCTGTGACTCTGTATGTATGTATGCTTCTGGAAGACATGCTTGAAGTAAAAAATGACTTGAAAGCCGTTGCGTAATATTTATTAAGTTTTCATTTTTGTACTACAATCTAAATTTATGTCTAAAAAATAAATATTAATGTGTTTTTTTTAAGGTTTTCATTTTTGCAAACTTATCATTTTAATTGACGTAATGTAAAGAACAAAATCATATTAAATGCATCACTGTTCACACAAATTCTAATTCTGACTCAAAAAAGTGTACAAATTAATTCCCTTAGTACATATTTCTATCCTTGATAAATTACGGGAAAAAATATTACATCGGTAAAAAATACTTTTTAATAGTTGGTTTTTACGTTAAAAAAATTATATAATTAGCATGGATTGATAAAGTGCAATGCTGTAGATGAAACGGCGTTATTTTAAATACTGCCCAATATTTATTTTATGCACTGAAAGTACTGTTTACTAATTATTAGTTTTAAATCAATAACTGTTTAGAAGCCGCTATGTCCGCCGGCGCCCCGACCTAGTGCGATGTGGCTCCCTGTGGCTTGCCGTGAGTGCTATGGCGCCTACGTTCGTTTTATTGAATGCAACAGACTATGGATAAAATGGGTTTTTAGGGGGGGGGGGGGTCCGCCCCGGCAGGGTGCGATTTGGCGTCCTGGGCTATACTGTGAGCACTATGCATTTATGTTTGCGTTTAAGTTTGTGTTTAAGTTTGCGTTTATGTTTGCATTATTTTCTGCCTTATTGTTTATATTTGCGTTTGGGTTTGTATTTATGTTTTTCTTTGCGTTAGAGTTACGTTTGCGTTTATTTTGTGTTTTGGTTTTGGTTGGTTGTTGTTAGGGTTAAGTTTAGAGTTAGGTTTAAAGTTATGTGTTATTTTCTCAAACGTCCATATTTGCATATAAACATTTAATTGGAAACGTAAAATATTTATTTATAAATAATAAATTTTATAAATAAAATATTTAAAATAATAATAAAATATATAAATGAATTAAAGTGACCGAAAGAGCTTAGCATTACCCGTGAGTAAGTGAACGAAGTGAAGATCCCCACCCTTCGCTAGTCCTACACCCCCACCCTTCACTGGACCTACACCCCCACCCTTCACTGGGCCTACACCCCCACCTTTTACTGGGCCTACAACCCCACCTTTCACTGGGCCTACACCCCCACCCTTCGCTAGACCTACACCCCCACCCTTCACTGGGCCTACACCCCCACCTTTCACTGGGCCTACACCCCCACCCTTCGCTAGACCTACATCCCCACCCTTCGCTAGACCTACACCCCCACCCTTCACTGGGCCTACACCCCCACCCTTCACTGGGCCTACACCCCCACCCTTCACTGGGCCTACACCCCCACCCTTCACTGGGCCTACACCCCCACCCTTCACTGGGCCTACACCCCAACCCTTCACTAGGCTTACACCCCCACCCTTCACTGGGCCTACACCCCCACCCTTCACTAGGCCTACACCCCCACCCTTCACTGGGCCTACACCCCCACCCTTCACTGGGCCTACACCCCCACCCTTCACTGGGCCTACACCCCCACCCTTCATTGGGCCTAAACCCCCACCCTTCACTGGGCCTACACCCCCACCCTTCACTGGGCCTACACCCCCACCCTTCACTAGGCTTACACCCCCACCCTTCACTGGGCCTACACCCCCACCCTTCACTAGGCCTACACCCCCACCCTTCACTGGGCCTACACACCCACCCTTCACTGGGCCTACACCCCCACCCTTCACTGGGCCTACACCCCCCCCTTCACTAGGCCTACACCCCCACCCTTCACTGGGCCTACAGCCCCCCCCCCTTCACTAGGCCTACACCCCCACCCTTCACTGGGCCTACACCCCCACCCTTCACTGGGCCTACACCCCCACCCTTCACTTGGCCTACAACTCCACCCTACACTGGGCCTACACCCCCACCCTTCACTGGGCCTACACCCCCACCCTTCACTGGGCCTACAGCCCCACCCTTCACTGGGCCTACACCCCCACCCTTCACTAGGCCTACACCCCCACCCTTCACTGGGCCTACACCCCCACCCTTCACTGGGCCTACACCCCCACCATTCACTGGGCCTACACCCCCACCCTTCACTGGGCCTACACCCCCACCCTTCTCTGGGCCTACACCCCCACCCTTCACTAGGCCTACACCCCCACCCTTCACTGGGCCTACACCCCCACCCTTCACTGGGCCTACACCCCCACCCTTCACTGGGCCTACACCCCCACCCTTCACTGGGCCTACACCCACACCCTTCACTGGGCCTACACCCCCACCCTTCACTGGGCCTACACCCCCACCCTTCACTGGGCCTACACCCCCACCCTTCACTGGGCCTACACCCCCACCCTTCACTGGGCCTACACCCCCACCCTTCACTGGGCCTACACCTCCACCCTTCACTAGGCCTACACCCCCACCCTTCACTGGGCCTACACCCCACCCTTCACTAGACCTACACCCCCACCCTTCACTAGACCTTCACCCCCACCCTTCACTGGGCCTACACCCCCACCCTTCACTGGGCCTACACCCCCACCCTTCACTGGGCCTACACCCCCACCCTTCACTGGGCCTACACCTCCACCCTTCACTAGGCCTACACCTCCACCTACAATGGGCCTACACCCCCATCCTTCACTGGGCCATTATTTCTGCTTTCAATGCAAATATTTAGAGTTAAATATAGAGATGTGGTAGATTATTAAAAACCACATGTGGTAGATTATTAAAAACCACATGTGATAGATTATTAAAAACCACATGTGGTAGATTATTAAAAACCACATGTGATAGATTATTAAAAACCACATGTGGTAGATTATTAAAAACCCTGATAAGATTGATAGCTAGTTATAAAACCAGATGTGGCAGATAGATTGTTAAAAGCCACAAAGTTGACTCGAAGTCTGTAGCTTTAGCATGTTGTCCCACAATGAATGGAGGTGACCAAATGAGAGGGCACATTTAATCCCAATTTTCCCTCTTCCCACCCTGGCCAGATGAGAGGTCACTTGTGGTTTCCCTGCCCAAGAAGCTCCAGACTGACCTGGCAATAAACGTCCACTTCAACACACTCAGCAAGGTCCAGCTGTTCCAGGACTGTGAGAGAAATCTTTTGTACGACCTCGTCCTCAAGCTCAAGCCCATTCTCTACCTGCCTGGCGATTACATCTGTCAGAAGGTCAGTGCTGCATCTGTCAGAAGATCAGTGCTACATCTGTCAGAAGGTCAGTGCTACATCTGTCAGAAGATCAGTGTTACATTTGTCAGTGCTACATCTGTCAGAAGGTCAGTGCTACATCTGTCAGAAGGTCAGTGTTACATTTGTCAGTGCTACATCTGTCAGAAGGTCAGTGCTACATCTGTCAGAAGGTCAGTGTTACATTTGTCAGTGCTACATCTGTCAGAAGGTCAGTGTTACATTTGTCAGTGCTACATCTGTCTGAAGGTCAGTGTTACATCTGTCTGAAGGTCAGTGTTACATCTGTCAGAAGGGCAGTGCTACATCTGTCAGAAGGTCAGTGCTACATCTGTCAGAAGGTCAGTGCTACATCTGTCAGAAGATCAGTGTTACATTTGTCAGTGCTACATCTGTCAGAAGGTCAGTGCTACATCTGTCAGAAGGTCAGTGTTATATCTGTCAGAAGGTCAGTGTTACATTTGTCAGTGCTACATCTGTCAGAAGGTCAGTGCTACATCTGTCAGAAGGTCAGTGTTACATCTGTCAGAAGGTCAGTGTTACATTTGTCAGTGCTACATCTGTCAGAAGGTCAGTGCTACATCTGTCAGAAGGTCAGTGTTACATTTGTCAGTGCTACATCTGTCAGAAGGTCAGTGCTACATCTGTCAGAAGGTCAGTGCTACATCTGTCAGAAGGTCAGTGCTACATTTGTCAGTGCTACATCTGTCAGAAGGTCAGTGTTACATTTGTCAGTGCTACATCTGTCAGAAGGTCAGTGCTACATCTGTCAGAAGGTCAGTGTTACATTTGTCAGTGCTACATCTGTCAGAAGGTCAGTGCTACATCTGTCAGAAGGTCAGTGTTACATCTGTCAGAAGATCAGTGTTACATTTGTCAGTGCTACATCTGTCAGAAGGTCAGTGCTACATCTGTCAGAAGGTCAGTGTTACATTTGTCAGTGCTACATCTGTCAGAAGGTCAGTGTTACATTTGTCAGTGCTACATCTGTCAGAAGGTCAGTGCTACATCTGTCTGAAGGTCAGTGTTACATATGTCAGAAGGTCAGTGCTACATCTGTCAGAAGGTCAGTGTTATATCTGTCAGAAGGTCAGTGTTACATCTGTCAGAAGGTCAGTGCTACATCTGTCAGAAGGTCAGTGTTATATCTGTCAGAAGGTCAGTGTTACATCTGTCAAAAGATCAGTGTTACATTTGTCAGTGCTACATCTGTCAGAAGGTCAGTGCTACATCTGTCAGAAGGTCAGTGCTACATCTGTCAGAAGGTCAGTGCTACATCTGTCAGAAGGTCAGTGCTACATCTGTCAGAAGGTCAGTGCTACATCTGTCAGAAGGTCAGTGTTACATCTGTCAAAAGATCAGTGTTACATTTGTCAGTGCTACATCTGTTAGAAGGTCAGTGCTACATCTGTCAGAAGGTCAGTGTTATATCTGTCAGAAGGTCAGTGCTACATCTGTCAGAAGGTCAGTGTTATATCTGTCAGAAGGTCAGTGCTATATCTGTCAGAAGGTCAGTGTTACATTTGTCAGAAGGTCAGTGTTACATCTGTCAGAAGGTCAGTGTTACATTTGTCAGTGCTACATCTGTCAGAAGGTCAGTGCTACATCTGTCAGAAGGTCAGTGCTACATCTGTCAGAAGGTCAGTGTTACATTTGTCAGTGCTTCATCTGTCAGAAGGTCAGTGCTACATCTGTCAGAAGGTCAGTGTTACATTTGTCAGTGCTACATCTGTCAGAAGGTCAGTGCTACATCTGTCAGAAGGTCAGTGCTACATCTGTCAGAAGGTCAGTGCTACATTTGTCAGTGCTACATCTGTCAGAAGGTCAGTGTTACATTTGTCAGTGCTACATCTGTCAGAAGGTCAGTGCTACATCTGTCAGAAGGTCAGTGTTACATTTGTCAGTGCTACATCTGTCAGAAGGTCAGTGCTACATCTGTCAGAAGGTCAGTGTTACATCTGTCAGAAGATCAGTGTTACATTTGTCAGTGCTACATCTGTCAGAAGGTCAGTGCTACATCTGTCAGAAGGTCAGTGTTACATTTGTCAGTGCTACATCTGTCAGAAGGTCAGTGTTACATTTGTCAGTGCTACATCTGTCAGAAGGTCAGTGCTACATCTGTCTGAAGGTCAGTGTTACATATGTCAGAAGGTCAGTGCTACATCTGTCAGAAGGTCAGTGTTATATCTGTCAGAAGGTCAGTGTTACATCTGTCAGAAGATCAGTGTTACATTTGTCAGTGCTACATCTGTCAGAAGGTCAGTGCTACATCTGTCAGAAGGTCAGTGTTATATCTGTCAGAAGGTCAGTGCTACATCTGTCAGAAGGTCAGTGTTACATTTGTCAGTGCTACATCTGTCAGAAGGTCAGTGCTACATCTGTCAGAAGGTCAGTGTTACATCTGTCAGAAGGTCAGTGTTATATCTGTCAGAAGGTCAGTGTTACATTTGTCAGTGCTACATCTGTCAGAAGATCAGTGCTACATCTGTCAGAAGGTCAGTGCTACATCTGTCAGAAGGTCAGTGTTACATTTGTCAGTGCTACATCTGTCAGAAGGTCAGTGCTACATCTGTCAGAAGGTCAGTGTTACATTTGTCAGTGCTACATCTGTCAGAAGGTCAGTGCTACATCTGTCAGAAGGTTAGTGCTACATTTGTCAGTGCTACATATGTCAGAAGGTCAGTGTTACATTTGTCAGTGCTACATCTGTCAGAAGGTCAGTGCTACATCTGTCAGAAGGTCAGTGCTACATCTGTCAGAAGGTCAGTGTTACATCTGTCAAAAGATCAGTGTTACATTTGTCAGTGCTACATCTGTTAGAAGGTCAGTGCTACATCTGTCAGAAGGTCAGTGCTACATCTGTCAGAAGGTCAGTGTTACATCTGTCAAAAGATCAGTGTTACATTTGTCAGTGCTACATCTGTTAGAAGGTCAGTGTTACATTTGTAAGTGCTACATCTGTCAGAAGGTTAGTGCTACATTTGTCAGTGCTACATCTGTCAGAAGGTCAGTGTTACATTTGTCAGTGCTACATCTGTCAGAAGGTCAGTGCTACATCTGTCAGAAGGTCAGTGCTACATCTGTCAGAAGGTCAGTGTTACATCTGTCAAAAGATCAGTGTTACATTTGTCAGTGCTACATCTGTTAGAAGGTCAGTGCTACATCTGTCAGAAGGTCAGTGCTACATCTGTCAAAAGATCAGTGTTACATTTGTCAGTGCTACATCTGTCAGAAGGTCAGTGCTACATCTGTCAGAAGGTCAGTGCTACATCTGTCAGAAGGTCAGTGCTACATCTGTCAGAAGGTCAGTGCTACATCTGTCAGAAGGTCAGTGTTACATCTGTCAGAAGGTCAGTGTTACATCTGTCAAAAGATCAGTGTTACATTTGTCAGTGCTACATCTGTTAGAAGGTCAGTGCTACATCTGTCAGAAGGTCAGTGTTATATCTGTCAGAAGGTCAGTGCTACATCTGTCAGAAGGTCAGTGCTACATCTGTCAGAAGGTCAGTGCTACATCTGTCAGAAGGTCAGTGCTACATCTGTCAGAAGGTCAGGGCTACATCTGTCAGAAGGTCAGTGCTACATCTGTCAGAAGGTCAGTGTTACATCTGTCAAAAGATCAGTGTTACATTTGTCAGTGCTACATCTGTTAGAAGGTCAGTGCTACATCTGTCAGAAGGTCAGTGTTATATCTGTCAGAAGGTCAGTGCTACATCTGTCAGAAGGTCAGTGTTATATCTGTCAGAAGGTCAGTGCTATATCTGTCAGAAGGTCAGTGTTACATTTGTCAGAAGGTCAGTGTTACATCTGTCAGAAGGTCAGTGTTACATTTGTCAGTGCTACATCTGTCAGAAGATCAGTGTTACATTTGTCAGTGCTACATCTGTCAGAAGGTCAGTGCTACATCTGTCAGAAGGTCAGTGTTACATTTGTCAGTGCTACATCTGTCAGAAGGTCAGTGTTACATTTGTCAGTGCTACATCTGTCAGAAGGTCAGTGCTACATATGTCTGAAGGTCAGTGTTACATATGTCAGAAGGTCAGTGCTACATCTGTCAGAAGGTCAGTGTTATATCTGTCAGAAGGTCAGTGTTACATCTGTCAGAAGATCAGTGTTACATTTGTCAGTGTTATATCTGTCAGAAGGTCAGTGCTACATCTGTCAGAAGGTCAGTGTTATATCTGTCAGAAGGTCAGTGTTACATTTGTCAGTGCTACATCTGTCAGAAGATCAGTGCTACATCTGTCAGAAGGTCAGTGCTACATCTGTCAGAAGGTCAGTGTTACATTTGTCAGTGCTACATCTGTCAGAAGGTCAGTGCTACATCTGTCAGAAGGTCAGTGTTACATTTGTCAGTGCTACATCTGTCAGAAGGTCAGTGCTACATCTGTCAGAAGGTTAGTGCTACATTTGTCAGTGCTACATCTGTCAGAAGGTCAGTGTTACATTTGTCAGTGCTACATCTGTCAGAAGGTCAGTGCTACATCTGTCAGAAGGTCAGTGCTACATCTGTCAGAAGGTCAGTGTTACATCTGTCAAAAGATCAGTGTTACATTTGTCAGTGCTACATCTGTTAGAAGGTCAGTGCTACATCTGTCAGAAGGTCAGTGCTACATCTGTCAGAAGGTCAGTGTTACATCTGTCAAAAGATCAGTGTTACATTTGTCAGTGCTACATCTGTTAGAAGGTCAGTGTTACATTTGTAAGTGCTACATCTGTCAGATGGTTAGTGCTACATTTGTCAGTGCTACATCTGTCAGAAGGTCAGTGTTACATTTGTCAGTGCTACATCTGTCAGAAGGTCAGTGCTACATCTGTCAGAAGGTCAGTGCTACATCTGTCAGAAGGTCAGTGTTACATCTGTCAAAAGATCAGTGTTACATTTGTCAGTGCTACATCTGTTAGAAGGTCAGTGCTACATCTGTCAGAAGGTCAGTGCTACATCTGTCAAAAGATCAGTGTTACATTTGTCAGTGCTACATCTGTCAGAAGGTCAGTGCTACATCTGTCAGAAGGTCAGTGCTACATCTGTCAGAAGGTCAGTGCTACATCTGTCAGAAGGTCAGTGCTACATCTGTCAGAAGGTCAGTGCTACATCTGTCAGAAGGTCAGTGCTACATCTGTCAGAAGGTCAGTGTTACATCTGTCAAAAGATCAGTGTTACATTTGTCAGTGCTACATCTGTTAGAAGGTCAGTGCTACATCTGTCAGAAGGTCAGTGTTATATCTGTCAGAAGGTCAGTGCTACATCTGTCAGAAGGTCAGAGCTACATCTGTCAGAAGGTCAGTGCTACATCTGTCAGAAGGTCAGTGCTACATCTGTCAGAAGGTCAGGGCTACATCTGTCAGAAGGTCAGTGCTACATCTGTCAGAAGGTCAGTGTTACATCTGTCAAAAGATCAGTGTTACATTTGTCCGTGCTACATCTGTTAGAAGGTCAGTGCTACATCTGTCAGAAGGTCAGTGTTATATCTGTCAGAAGGTCAGTGCTACATCTGTCAGAAGGTCAGTGTTATATCTGTCAGAAGGTCAGTGCTATATCTGTCAGAAGGTCAGTGTTACATTTGTCAGAAGGTCAGTGTTACATCTGTCAGAAGGTCAGTGTTACATTTGTCAGTGCTACATCTGTCAGAAGATCAGTGTTACATTTGTCAGTGCTACATCTGTCAGAAGGTCAGTGCTACATCTGTCAGAAGGTCAGTGTTACATTTGTCAGTGCTACATCTGTCAGAAGGTCAGTGTTACATTTGTCAGTGCTACATCTGTCAGAAGGTCAGTGCTACATAAGTCTGAAGGGCAGTGTTACATATGTCAGAAGGTCAGTGCTACATCTGTCAGAAGGTCAGTGTTATATCTGTCAGAAGGTCAGTGTTACATCTGTCAGAAGATCAGTGTTACATTTGTAAGTGCTACATCTGTCAGAAGGTCAGTGCTACATCTGTCAGAAGGTCAGTGTTATATCTGTCAGAAGGTCAGTGCTACATCTGTCAGAAGGTCAGTGTTATATCTGTCAGAAGGTCAGTGCTACATCTGTCAGAAGGTCAGTGCTACATCTGTCAGTGCTACATCTGTCAGAAGGTCAGTGCTACATCTGTCTGAAGGTCAGTGCTACATCTGTCAGAAGGTCAGTGCTACATTTGTCAGAAGGGCAGTGTTACATCTGTCAGAAGGTCAGTGTTATATCTGTCAGAAGGTCAGTGTTACATTTGTCAGTGCTACATCTGTCAGAAGATCAGTGCTACATCTGTCAGAAGGTCAGTGCTACATCTGTCAGAAGGTCAGTGTTACATTTGTCAGTGCTACATCTGTCAGAAGGTCAGTGCTACATCTGTCGGAAGGTCAGTGTTACATTTGTCAGTGCTACATCTGTCAGAAGGTCAGTGCTACATCTGTCAGAAGGTTAGTGCTACATTTGTCAGTGCTACATCTGTCAGAAGGTCAGTGTTACATTTGTCAGTGCTACATCTGTCAGAAGGTCAGTGCTACATCTGTCAGAAGGTCAGTGCTACATCTGTCAGAAGGTCAGTGTTACATCTGTCAAAAGATCAGTGTTACATTTGTCAGTGCTACATCTGTCAGAAGGTCAGTGCTACATCTGTCAGAAGGTCAGTGCTACATCTGTCAGAAGGTCAGTGTTACATCTGTCAAAAGATCAGTGTTACATTTGTCAGTGCTACATCTGTTAGAAGGTCAGTGTTACATTTGTCAGTGCTACATCTGTCAGAAGGTTAGTGCTACATTTGTCAGTGCTACATCTGTCAGAAGGTCAGTGTTACATTTGTCAGTGCTACATCTGTCAGAAGGTCAGTGCTACATCTGTCAGAAGGTCAGTGCTACATCTGTCAGAAGGTCAGTGTTACATCTGTCAAAAGATCAGTGTTACATTTGTCAGTGCTACATCTGTTAGAAGGTCAGTGCTACATCTGTCAGAAGGTCAGTGCTACATCTGTCAGAAGGTCAGTGTTACATCTGTCAAAAGATCAGTGTTACATTTGTCAGTGCTACATCTGTTAGAAGGTCAGTGCTACATCTGTCAGAAGGTCAGTGCTACATCTGTCAGAAGGTCAGTGTTACATCTGTCAAAAGATCAGTGTTACATTTGTCAGTGCTACATCTGTTAGAAGGTCAGTGCTACATCTGTCAGAAGGTCAGTGCTACATCTGTCAGAAGGTCAGTGTTACATCTGTCAAAAGATCAGTGTTACATTTGTCAGTGCTACATCTGTCAGAAGGTCAGTGCTACATCTGTCAGAAGGTCAGTGCTACATCTGTCAGAAGGTCAGTGCTACATCTGTCAGAAGGTCAGTGCTACATCTGTCAGAAGGTCAGTGCTACATCTGTCAGAAGGTCAGTGTTACATCTGTCAAAAGATCAGTGTTACATTTGTCAGTGCTACATCTGTTAGAAGGTCAGTGCTACATCTGTCAGAAGGTCAGTGTTATATCTGTCAGAAGGTCAGTGCTACATCTGTCTGAAGGTCAGTGTTACATTTGTCAGAAGGTCAGTGTTACATCTGTCAGAAGGTCAGTGTTACATTTGTCAGTGCTACATCTGTCAGAAGGTCAGTGCTACATCTGTCAGAAGGTCAGTGTTACATTTGTCAGTGCTACATCTGTCAGAAGGTCAGTGCTACATCTGTCAGAAGGTCAGTGTTACATTTGTCAGTGCTACATCTGTCAGAAGGTCAGTGCTACATCTGTCAGAAGGTCAGTGCTACATCTGTCAGAAGGTCAGTGCTACATTTGTCAGTGCTACATCTGTCAGAAGGTCAGTGTTACATTTGTCAGTGCTACATCTGTCAGAAGGTCAGTGCTACATCTGTCAGAAGGTCAGTGTTACATTTGTCAGTGCTACATCTGTCAGAAGGTCAGTGCTACATCTGTCAGAAGGTCAGTGCTACATCTGTCAGTGCTACATCTGTCAGAAGGTCAGTGCTACATCTGTCTGAAGGTCAGTGCTACATCTGTCAGAACGTCAGTGCTACATTTGTCAGAAGGGCAGTGTTACATCTGTCAGAAGGTCAGTGTTATATCTGTCAGAAGGTCAGTGTTACATTTGTCAGTGCTACATCTGTCAGAAGGTCAGTGTTATATCTGTCAGAAGGTCAGTGCTACATCTGTCAGAAGGTCAGTGTTACATTTGTCAGTGCTACATCTGTCAGAAGGTCAGTGCTACATCTGTCAGAAGGTTAGTGCTACATTTGTCAGTGCTACATCTGTCAGAAGGTCAGTGTTACATTTGTCAGTGCTACATCTGTCAGAAGGTCAGTGCTACATCTGTCAGAAGGTCAGTGCTACATCTGTCAGAAGGTCAGTGTTACATCTGTCAAAAGATCAGTGTTACATTTGTCAGTGCTACATCTGTCAGAAGGTCAGTGCTACATCTGTCAGAAGGTCAGTGCTACATCTGTCAGAAGGTCAGTGTTACATCTGTCAAAAGATCAGTGTTACATTTGTCAGTGCTACATCTGTTAGAAGGTCAGTGTTACATCTGTCAAAAGATCAGTGTTACATTTGTCAGTGCTACATCTGTCAGAAGGTTAGTGCTACATTTGTCAGTGCTACATCTGTCAGAAGGTCAGTGTTACATTTGTCAGTGCTACATCTGTCAGAAGGTCAGTGCTACATATGTCAGAAGGTCAGTGCTACATCTGTCAGAAGGTCAGTGTTACATCTGTCAAAAGATCAGTGTTACATTGGTCAGTGCTACATCTGTTAGAAGGTCAGTGCTACATCTGTCAGAAGGTCAGTGCTACATCTGTCAGAAGGTCAGTGTTACATCTGTCAGAAGGTCAGTGTTACATTTGTCAGTGCTACATCTGTCAGAAGGTCAGTGCTACATCTGTCAGAAGGTCAGTGCTACATCTGTCAGTGCTACATCTGTCAGAAGGTCAGTGCTACATCTGTCTGAAGGTCAGTGCTACATCTGTCAGAACGTCAGTGCTACATTTGTCAGAAGGGCAGTGTTACATCTGTCAGAAGGTCAGTGTTATATCTGTCAGAAGGTCAGTGTTACATTTGTCAGTGCTACATCTGTCAGAAGATCAGTGTTATATCTGTCAGAAGGTCAGTGCTACATCTGTCAGAAGGTCAGTGCTACATCTGTCAGAAGGTCAGTGCTACATCTGTCAGAAGTTTAGTGACCCATCTGTCAGATGCTCAGTTCTCACTGCAGTTTATTATTAGATTGTTACACGCACACACATGGTTGCTTAAGAATTATTTTTTTTAAGACACTAAAGCTTTTCTTTTGCACACGCTGTTATAACAGAAAACAAACTAAATGTTACAAAATCCATTTCCAAAAATGTGCATAGGAGCTAATGATCAGCCGCTAAATGTGCGACTATCTACATTCTAAAGGCATCCGTGTCCGTAGTTCTGTACTGTGGCGTGGTCTTGATTCATCACACACACACACACATACTGTCTCTCTCTCACACACACACACATACACATTATATATATATATATATATATATATATATATATATATATATATATATATATATATATATATATTTGTTGTGTGGGTACTGGAACAGTCCCCCCCCCCCCCTATGTTTAATGACCGCTATTGTTTGCCGACAGGGCGAGGTTGGGAAGGAGATGTACATCGTCACACAAGGGCAGGTGGAGGTGGTGGGCGGGGAGAACAACAGCACAGTCCTGGCCACACTACATGAGGGCAGCGTCTTCGGGGAGATCAGGTAGGACGAGATTTACGACGGGCTCCCGTCATTTAGGCTCCCGTCATTTGGGCTCCCGTCATTTGGGCTCCCGTCATTTAGGCTCCCGTCATTTGGGCTCCCGTCATTTAGGCTCCCGTCATTTGGGCTCCCGTCATTTGGGCTCCCGTCATTGGGCTCCCGTCATTTGGGCTTCCGTTATTTGGGCTCCCGTCATTTGGGCTCCCGTCATTTAGGCTCCCGTTATTTAGGCTCCCGTCTTTTAGGCTCCCGTCTTTTAGGCTCCCGTCTTTTAGGCTCCCGTCATTTAGTTTATGGACAAAATGGCCCCCGTCATTACGACTCCCGAAAAATAGGCTCCTGTCAATTTGGTTCACGACAAAAGGACCACTGACAATACGGTTCCAGTAGAGACTAAGTCTCCCGGCAAAACGGTCTCATTGCATATTACACCTGCCAGTGGGACCCCTTCATCAATATTCTTTAGAGTTTGCTTAACTGACACTCTTTAGTAATACAACATATCGATCTCTTGTTCGCACTTCGCAGGTCTTATTTTATAATAGTTTATTATAAGATATAGTATGTTTTTATTTAAGGGTCACCTATCTATGACTTCCATAATTGAGTCAGTTATAGGCTGTTCCAACTCAGTGTGTGGGGAGAAGGGTCCACGCTGTACATTCCTACCTGCAGTATGCTTGTAGGTTATCAAAACATTTATATCATACATTTACACTTCTGTGCTCGCTTTTAAGCAACAGATCTTTACTGTTGTAAATTAAACATTATCAAAACTTTAGAATTGGTGGAATTTAGCTGTTAAGGGCTCGATTTCTTTGTGAATTGATGTTGGATCACGAAAAACAATTTCATTCAGGCAGCAAGATGTTATAGTGGTAGTGGAGGTAGGACAAAATGGTTACTTTTATGCCAATGGTGGTCATGCCATTCATTAGTCTGGAACCAGTATGTCAGGAGTCCTTTTGTCGGTAGCCAATATGTCGGGAGGCCTTTTGTCGGTAGCCAATATGTCGGGAGCCCAATTGTAGGGTGCCAATTTGTCGGGAGCAGCTTTGTCGGGAGCCAATATGTTCTGAGCCTATTTGTCGGGAGCCAATATGTCGGGAGCCGCTTTGTCGGTAGCTAATATGTCGGGAGCCCAATTGTCGGGAGCCAATATGTCGTGAGTCAATATGACGGGAGCCCATTTGACGGGAGTCAGGGCCTTTTAGACGGGGTTATTGTGACTGGGTCATTTTGTCGGGGGTCGATGTGACGGGGTCATATTACCGAGGCCGTTTTGACAGTGTGCCCAATGAACCAAAATTAGATAAAACACGATCTGACGTCATTTTATAACATAAAATGTTTGTTGGTATGGAATATATTTGTGTTGCAGTGGCGTATAGAGGGTAGGTGCAGGGAAGTAGCTGCTCAAATATTTAGGCGCCTTTTTTTTTTGAAAAAAAATATTAAATAAAACAAGCAAGAAAAGTCGGTATGTGTTACTAAATAAATAAAATAAATAGATGCTTCTATTTTGTGGTTGGCGTGTGTATTAAACTGTTGGTCAATGAAGTCGCCTATTAACGATTGAACTGACACATTTTGCCATACTCTAACATGGAGGTGCGACATAAGTGATGAGTGTTACCATCATAGTCCAAGCCGTCGAGAATGAGCTGAATAATTTATTTCCATAGAGAAACCAAGACAAATGCGAGACGGGAAAAGGAACGGAGACAGAAAAATTAATTTTATTTCGTTCGCAACGTGTTTCATTTTTTTTTCGCTTGTTTGTGAGTTTGTGGTAAATCTTTTAACTCAATTTCGACCAACCTCTGATGCGATTTCGTTCAAACTTTCCAGATACGTTCCACTTTGATGACAATACAAGTCTATCAATTTTTAAAATTTAATTAGATGTTTAACTAATCATTAAAAATTAATTAAACGGTTTCAAAACTAAGGGACATCACAAAATTAAATCACTCGATAAATTACTATATTCAATAAAAGAACGGGAGAAAGCATCAACCTACCAGTCTGGTGAGCTGTGTTCACGCCAAATGTTTACAATCGCGGAGACGGTCGATCTAGTGAAGGTTATTAGGGGCAGATAATAAAGTTTTTAAACTATTTGAAACTAACGGGAGGTAAAAATAATAATCATTAAAAAAGTTTTAAAAAACCCACGTTTTCTGATTGAACTAAAAAGTAGAAAATAAACGCTATACATCACAATAATGCAAGCGATCACTCTACTATAAGCGATGAAAAACGTGGGGCGCCGAAGTAAAAGTTATATTACTATTGATTAGATAATACTATTGACTTTTATTAGGGAGCTTGTAGAGAGTCAACAGTATTAGAAACTGTAAGAAAATCACGGCGCCCCACGTTTTTGATCGCTTATAGTAGAGTGATCGCTTGCATTATTGTGATGTATAGCGTTTATTTTCTACTTTTTAGTTCAATCAGAAAACGTGGGTTTTTTAAAACTTTTTTAATGATTATTATTTTCTACTTTTTAGTCTTTGTTTGTTTGCATTAAAATCTTGCTATCGATTTTATCTTTTCACTTTTTTTGGGTAAACGAAGACAACTCGTAAAAAGACAACTCGTAAAAAGACAACTCGTAAAAAGACAACTCGTTACTGACTAGAACACATAGATTTGAACCCGTGTCGAGTGGGATAGCAATCGTGTGCCCAACCACTCGACCATATCGTCTCCCCCAAACTGGCCTACCTCGTGTAAGTTTAAACTCGGTTCAAACTAAATTATCTGTCCCTAAGCCTGTGGCGAAGTGGGATCGTTCGCTTCACTGCGCGCGAGGTACGGGTCGCTCCTGTAAGTTTAAACTCGGTTCAAAGTTCAAGCTAAATTCTCTGCCCCTAAGCCTGTGGCGACATGTGATCGTTCGCTTCACTGCGCGCGAGGTACGCGTCGCTGGTTTTTTTTCTAATGGCTAGCAGAGGAGAATTATATATATAGATTATATAGCGGTCTAAAATGCTCAATAAAATGTTTCCATTGATCAATTTAGTAATAATAACAATTGAATATTCAATGGTCATCCAAAAGAAAGCTTCCCTGAAAATTTCAGCGCGCTAGCTAACTGGGAAGTGCCAGAAATTTCGATCGCAAGATTTGATTGGAAAGACAAACACACAAACAGAGAAAGCAAGTTAAAGAAAACGTGGGAAAAAATAATTAAGAACTTGCTGTCGTCTGTAAAATCTGGTCATGGACGGCAGATAATCGTCTTTCAGATTTCGCGATCTATTGATGGTGTTTTCAAGCAAATATTTAAAAATATACAGACATTTAAGAAAAATATTCATAGCCCTAACTCTTACCTTAGCCATAACAACAACCAAAAACATGAACAAAAAATGAACCGAAGCACAAACATAAGCATACAAATAACATTTCCCTAACCCTATCCCTATCCCTTCCCCAATAACTATCCCCTTATCTCTAGCTTAAACATATGTGTTTCCATATCTCTGGCCCTATATATATATATATATATATATATATAATGATAATGTCAGTATAGGTTTTAAGTACAAATGAAGTTAAAGTACAGGTATGAGTACAGGTATAAGACCTGTCGGTCAGTTAGTCAGTGATTGTGTATCATATGATCTGACAGCTTGCTAGCGATGTCTGGGCGCGGCAACAGACGGACGGCAGACGTCAGATGTAAAGGCTACACCAATGTCTTCACACTCTCTAAGCACGACTTCGAGATGGCTATGACCGAGTACCCAGACGCTCAAGCAGTGTTGAAGAAACGTGCCAAGTAAATGTCGTCTGTTTAATTCAACGCAAAAACTCGGTTTGGGCAATCAACAAAAAATTGTTTTTTTATTCAATTAACAGCACGTTGAATTTGTTTTTCATCGTAACTGAAATCGTTTTTGTCATACAATGTTTAAATCTTATTCTAATACATTCTAATACTCGTGAAGTCATTCACTATGTTCAACAATAATAATAGTAGCAGTTGTAGCAGTAGTAGTAGTAATGGTAGCTGTAGTAATAATGGCAGCAATAGTAATAATAATAATAATAATAATAATAATAATAATAATAATCAAAACAATAACAACAACAGTAACAATAACAACAACAATAACAACAACAATAATAAAGAGATAGACACACCCCAAGCCGCTCACAATTGTTTAGTGTGACTTTGTATCCCAAAGGAAGCTATTAAAAGCCAACGCTAAAATGGAAAAGAAACACAAGAAAGTTGAAGCCGAAGAAATCATCAAAACTTCCCCAGAAACTCCCAAATTGCTACAGACGGTCATTCAAGTAATGGATCCCGACTCGAATCTCGTCAAACATCTGACACCCAGCACACAGCCAAGCCAAAGAAAAAGACCACATTCTCGGTATATCTGCTATATATCTATATCTATATATCTATATATAACAGAGGCGTAGCGACCCTTCCCGGCGCCCGGGGACAAACTTTCAATCTGGCGCCCCCCCCCCCCTCCCCAATAATTTTTTTAAATTTATAATGCAAAACTGCAGCTAAAATGAGCTTATAATTTTTTCCAACCCATTTTGGCGCCCCTTAGGGTCGGCGCCCGGGGACATATGTACCTCCCCCCACCCCCGCCCCCTCGCTACGCCTCTGCTGCTTAACACAAATATGGTCGTGCAGGAGCAAACTGATTCTGTTGTGTTGGACTGAATCAACTACCTCACAGTTAATCTATCCTCTTCCAGCTCTCAGTCGTATCTATTTGCTGTTAGGTCTCAGTCAATCTGTTGCTAGGTCTCACAGTCAATCTGTTGCTAGGTCTCACAGTCAATCTGTTTCTAGGTCTCACAGTCAATCTGTTGCTAGGTCTCACAGTCATCGTCTGAGCCCCAGCACCTCTAATTTAAACCATCTGACGCCACCGAGGTCTCTCAGCTATCGTCTGGCCAACAGAGCGCCAACGGACGGGGTCAACAACCTGACGCATGATGGATACGACACGGATGAAGACAACGACGATCCTTTGGTCTACGACAGCTCGGATGATGTACGTACTTCACGCGGCGGGGGCGGGGCTTGTTGTTGTGTAGGGAGGGGCTTGTTGTTGTGTAGGGAGGGGCTTGTAGTTGTGTAGGGAGGGGCTTGTTGTGTAGAAAGGTCTTGTCGATCGCTGGCGGGCGTTTGCCGGGGTGTTATTTAATTATTTAATGTCTTGTTCTTGCGTTTAATTGTCTGGTTCTTATGTTCAAGTGTCTGTGTCTTGTGTTAAAATGTTTGGTTCTTATGTTATTATACTAACCATATTACTTTGGTTCGTGTGTTAAAATGTTTGGTTCTTATGTTTTTATACTAACCATATTACTTTGGTTCGTGTGTTAAAATGTTTGGTTCTTATGTTTTTATACTAACAATATTACTTTGGTTCGTGTGTTAAAATGTTTGGTTCTTATGTTTTTATACTAACCATATTACTTTGGTTCGTGTGTTAAAATGTTTGGTTCCTATGTTTTTATACTAACAATATTACTTTGGTTCTTGTGTTAAAATGTTTGGTTCCTATGTTTTTATACTAACAATATTACTTTGGTTCCTATGTTTTTATACTAACAATATTACTTTGGTTCTTGTGTTAAAATGTTTGGTTCCTATGTTTTTATACTAACAATATTACTTTGGTTCTTGTGTTAAAATGTTTGGTTCCTATGTTTTTATACTAACAATATTACTTTGGTTCTTGTGTTAAAATGTTTGGTTCCTATGTTTTTATACTAACAATATTACTTTGGTTCGTGTTAAATCGTCTGGTTCTTGTCTTCCTGTCAGGTTTCCTTGTCTGAAGTTCTTCATGACGCCGGCGCCATTAGCAGCTTTGAGGATGACGAAAGCAACGCTGAGGATCAACCCAGACAGGATCTGCGCAGAAAAAAATCGTCGGACTATTTTTGGAGTGACACCGTCCAAGAGCAGTTGAACGATACCGGAAGTTGTCAATTATTAGAAGGTCAACTAGTTCCCAGTGAAGTCAGCAATGATGCAGGTTTGCCTTTCTCACTTTTTAATGAATTTTGTAGATGCCTGGGAACGACTCACAGGGAAATTGCCCATATAAAAGCAAGCCCGGACAGGGTGCTGTCTACTCTAATCCAGGGGTCTCCAAACTTTTCAGCCCGAGGGCCGGATTAACTATCAAATATACGTTCGGGGGCCCGCGAGCCGTAGTTTGGAGACCCCTGCTCTAATCCCTAGGCTTATAATAAACTAACGGGTCAAGGCAAGTCTGGCTCAACCCCGAGTGGTCGAAATCTGACCTTGGTCTTAAACTTTAAAACAAAAATATTTTATAAATTTATTTTCTTAAAAATATTGAACCAAATAAAAAAAAATAAAAGACTACAAGATAATAAAAAAAAGAAACTAAAAGCGACAAAACACCCAATCGGACAACAACAAATATGAAAAGGTAAAAACGTAAGTGAGACAGATAAAAAGGGCACGCACGAGGCATAATTAATAAAGATTAAGTCCACACAGGACAACTCACAAAATAATATTGGTGTGAGCGGCTGGAGTGTATTATTATTATTATTTGTAACTTAGAAGGCGAATGTATCGTTTCTTTTCATGTTGTAAACAGTTCGTACTGTTTAGTTGTGTAGTCCCGTATTATGGCGCCGCTGTCTATCTGTTTATGTCCCTGTTTACAGCTAGTTTGTATATATTGTGTTTATATTGTTGTCAAGGTTTATATTAAGTGTCTTTTTATATAATTCTGTTGCATGTTTCGTGGCGTTTGGTTTGTTATCTGTGAATTAGGGACTATTTGTTTAGGTGAAGTGTGCGAGGTGTGTGGAAGTCAGTTTCCGGAGTGGTGGTTGATTGCTTTTGGATGTCGTGCGGATGAAGGGAGGAAGTCTGTGTGTCAGATCCTGGACCATCCAGTGCATCAAAAGTCTAAGAAACATCATCTAACTGTTAAGCTAAGTGAATCCAATTCTTTTAAGCTTGGACGTTGTCCGAAATTGGGTGTTTTGTTGTATATAAATTGGTTTGTTTTGTCTAGATCTAGATTCTAGAGATCTAGTTTTTACTTTCTCGTATATACGAAGTAGCCTATAGAGAAAGTCTTGTAATCGTGCAAAAAAAAATCGAGATGACGTTTTACACCTCACTGATACGGAAAAACATAATTTTGCAATCTTGTCTGTGTGTCTGTCTGTGTGTCTGTCTGTCTGTCCGTGTGTAAACACGATAACTTGAGTACCGTTACAGCTAGGTTGATGAAATTTCATATATAAGTATTTTATCAAAATCGTAGATCCGTATCAACTTTTTCACAGTCAAACGGAAAACGAAACATGACGTCACATGGAACATATATAGTATGAAATAATCTAGAGCCGGGAAAGTACACACGTCATTGATTCTAGAGTAAACATTAAAAAGCCATTGCCCAAAAATTATACTATATTAATGACGTCATCGATACTTGATAATAATGACACTAACATTACCACCTCATTTATTTGTCTAATCTTAAAATGGGTCTGCGTGCAGAGTTTCTTTCGGGTATCTCTTTGTGAAGGGGGGGGGGGCGGGCAGAAAACCCTCTCCCCCTTCCGCCGAAGAACATCTACCGCCCGCTTCCACCCCCTCCCTCCAGTGTTGACTAAATTTTATGGGGAGGGGGCGGATACATTTAAAAGTATATTTTCTATATAAATTCTATTTCATTCAAGGGAACGGTAGAAGTGCTGAGGAGTGGGTGCCCCCTCCCCCCGTAGAGTCGCGTGAAAGAAACACTAAATGCGACTTTTGTAAATATTGGACTTATGTGCAAGGTTTAGGGGTATGACTAAGACTATCTTTATTATAAATGTGCAGTAACAACGTGTAGATTAAGATTAAATCCAATTAAAATGTCGATTCTGGATAAAAATACGTTTTCAATTACATTTTTCGTTTCCGGTTAAATAATTTAAAGTTGAGTCGGTGATTTTGGTTTAGAGAAAAAGACATCACCATCAACCTAGCGCCCGTTTTATATCTGCCTTAACGAGCCATTTATCTCTTATAAGAATAATCGAGAAAGTTTAGGGGAGATCACTCCCGCTTTACTTAACACGAGAACAGCCCATTTAATTCTTACATTTTATTTGCAGTTTTTTTTTTAAATTTTATTTTAAATTTTATTTTAGATGTAAGAATTTAGATGTAAAATTCAACATGCATTTGGATTGTGTTTGCTTTTGTGTTTGGGCTTGTTTTTTTTTTTTTGTTGTGTTTTTGTGTTGCGTTAGTGTTTTCGTTTGTGGTTTTTTTTCGTTTACATTTGTTTGCTTTGTATTCGTATTTGCGTTTCCGTTTGTGTTGTGTTTTCTTTTGTGTTTGTGTTGGATTTGTGTATAGTTTTGTTCTATTCCCAAGTTGGTACACTTAAAAAAGATTCACCGTGGTGGAGCACGGGTATGCAGCTAGTTTGTTTATGTAGCGCCACTCCTTTATTTTTATACGTTGCTTTATGTAAAGATTTGTATTAAAATGCTGTCAAAATTAAACAACCAAGTAGAAATATATAGACTGCAATGTGAATGTAACGGTACTCAAGTTATCGTGTTCACAGATATATGGAGTACTGCAAAGAGAAATCTAAATCTGAAATTAAATTTCTTGTAGGCCCTTTTTTTAGGACAAAATGTAAGAGTTTTGAAAATGTGTTCATTTTCACACCTTTAGTGGTTTCTATGGCAACCAGTATGGCTAGATGGATTCTATTAATTTTTTTCTTTAGTTTACAATCTATTTACTTGTGAATTTATTAAATACAATCATTATTATTTATGAAATGACAAATCGTATAGTCATTAAGTAAATACCCATGTATGTTTTGCCCTTTTTTGTCCTTATGAGATTATTTGTTCATGTCAGATGTACCTGGAAAACCGAGAAATGATTCTTCCAGCTCTACAGCGAACAAGGAAAATAGTGAAAGGGCTGCAGGTGGTGATCTATCAAGTGCCACAAGATGTCTACTGAGTGAGAATGCCACAGAGAAGAGCATGCCGGGAGCAAATGGTGTCAGCACACGAATGGAGAAGTTGGCACCTCCGCCCCTCATCTTGAGCTCTACACCTCTGCAGGAGATTTCTCAATGTGACGGGAGACAACGCAAACTTTCTGTCGTCTCCCTCCCCCCAGCCTCACCACGGGACAGCCCACAGTGGGTCACCACAAGCTTCATTGGCCATCGGTCAAATGGCTCCAATCCAATCCCCCACTGCACAGTTGAAGCAGTGAAATCCATGCCACCCATTGAAACCACAAGAAGCATCTGGGGTAACTCTCTGACCAATGGCCTAGAGGGGTGCTGTGGGGCTGGGCCACTGATGGAGATCCCTGCTGAAAATAGGATCACATGTGCTGTGGAGGTACACAGACAAAAAACTTTTAATAGCAGTACATCAGATGCTGTAACAATCACAGATATCCATGGTCACACAGAGACTATGTTGTAAGACACCATCAGATCATGTTATAGCCCACACATCATTTTGTTTATTGTCTGTTATTGTTAGTTGTTTTTTTTTTTTGTTACTGTTGAGCACTATCAGTTGGATAGATTTGAACCCAGTGAGAAACTATTGTAGCATAAATCTTCTATGTTGCACAAAATAATAAGTTACCACTACAACCACCTTTAAAAAATTCTGTATTGTTTTGTCTTTAATATTTAGATAAGCGCTTAATTTAAGGTACGTGAGTAACATATTTAAGTTTTAAAAAATTCAGCTGATTAAATTAAGCAGACACGCCCATATTCAAAAACAACTTGTGCTAATTTAAGAAAAAGCAGACATACACACCAACTAAAAGTGTTGCTTTAATTAGTCCAAACTGGCGAAAAAGTGCGTTTGGGGTCATTTTTTGCGGTTTTCAAAAAAAAATAATTCACTACTTCTAGTTGTGATATAAGAATAAAAAATTATATGTAAATAAAGTTAAAGTCTTTATTTGTCGAAATCTGGTATTTTTTATTTTTATATCTGTAACACCTGTATGAATGTGTTGGTGGCCGGAAAGAACCGCAACGGAAAAAAGCGCAACGGAAAAAAGCGCAAAACAAAAAGCGCACACGGAAAAAAGCGCAAAGAGAAAAAAGCGCAAACAGAAAAAAGCGCACACAGAAAAAAGCGCAAACAGAAAAAAGAGCAAACGGAAATAAGCGCAAAGAGAAAAAAGCGCACACGGAAAAAAGCGCACACAGAAAAAAGCGCAAGCGGAAAAAAGCGCAAACAGAAAAAAGCGCACACGGAAAAAAGAGCAAACGGAAAAAAGCGCAAACGGAAAAAAGCGCAAACAGAAAAAAGCGCAAACGGAAAAAGGCGCAAACAGAAAAAAGCGCAAACAGAAACAGAAAAATGCGCAAACAGAAACAGAAAAATGCGCAACCAGAAAAAAACACAACGAAAAATGTGCAAAAGAGAAATTTAGCACAAAGACCATATGGACTAGATGACACATTTATACATGACTGCTAGGGCTGCTGTGAGAGTGTCGTGTTTGATCACGTGATCTACTACCATTTAAAGCGTACCACTACCACCTGCATTCCCATCACGGAGGTTGTTAGGTGGGTAGTTCATTGATCCTGTTGAGCCCTACATTACATAGTTAATCAGTTTAACAATGTAGCTGCCATTGGAGTAGGTGTAAGTCAAAGCCTGATGTTATTATAAAACTTCATCTCTCTTTGTTTCTTTATAAAAAGGTTATGGAATGTTTTTTAAGGTATTTTACTGAAATGTTTACCGGACGAATGCAAAATGATATAAACAACCATAGCTCTTCTGTTATATAGGCTACATGCAGTGTTTCTTCCAGACTTCCCCCCCCCCCTCAAACTTTCGATTGTACCCTCCCCCCCCCCAAACTTTCGATTTGCACCCCCTCATACTTTATATATATATATATATATATATATATATATATATATATATATATATATATATATATATATATATATATATATATATATATATATATATATATATATATACCGAGGGGTCTATGGGGGGGGGGGGTTACCCCCTGCCTACGCCACTGCATATAAGTATTCGCATAGATTTAGAGTAGCGTCTCTTTTGTTTACATATTTTCATTACCCTTCAAACAAAAGTCTATTTTAGTTATATTGAGATTAAAGAATGTAAATAAATAGTATACACAATTCTGTAGAATAGGAACGATTGGGAGGGAAGTGACATTTAGCGCAGGAAATTTAGGGGTTAGGTAGGGTATAATAAATGGTGGGGTTAGGAAAGTTAAGAGAATGCTCTAATAGGCAGTCTATGTCTCTTTCGTACTTTCGTGTTGGTTTATTGTCGAACCTGTCCTCACCTCACATCACAACAGTTGGGTGACGCTTACCGTGTAATGTTAAAATAAATAGCATGTAATTGAGTTAGTTCGAAGTGAGTTTTCATACAAGCCCAACGCACTAATTAAGGTTGTCGCAAAATGTAACATATATGTCAATGATGTCAATGAATTTTCATTTTAAAAAAAAGTTGTCTAGTACAGTTTACGAAACTTACGAACTTCGCCGATACTTTTTTGGTGGGTAGATTGGTAAGTATGTAGGCGGGTAGGTGGGTAAGTGGGTAGGTGGGTAGTTAGGTAGGTAGGTGGGTAGTAGGTAGGTAGGTAGGTGCGTCATGATGTGAAAAAAATATTAAATACAAAATTGTTATTTTGGTGCGAATGAATGTTGTTGCGAGAAATATGACGAATGCATGTTTGATGACGCGGATGAAAGAGAGTGAAGTTTTGCGATAGGAACGGGTTGTAAGCTAGGTAGTTCGGACTAGAGAGAATGTGAAAGATACTTCGTGCATTGTCGATAGTTTTATGTTTATATGAGAATAGTAGTTGAATAATTATTGACCAAGAAAATAATAGGCATTGTGTAAAGTGATTATCGCCTGTATCGTGGTCATGGGAATGCAGATGGTAGTGGTACGCTTTAAATGGTAGTAGATCACGTGATCGCTTTTTTCTCTTTGCGCTTTTTTCCGTGTGCGCTTTTTTTCCGTTGCGCTTTTTGTTTTGCGCTTTTTTCCGTTACGCTTTTTTCCGTTGCGGTTCTTTCTGGGAACCGAATGTGTTTTATATTTATTTGAAAAGTATGTTACGTCAACAAATTTAAACGTTTTGCGAGTACCGATCGACCCCACACCGTTTCATTTGATCGCGGCTTCGCGACTAAGCATCGTAGAAGCATAATCTTAATCTATCTATCTATATATCTTTTATACTACTCAAGTTTGTTTACATGTTTGAATATTTATTTGTTTGTTTGTTTGTCTGATTGGCTACTGGAGAGAATCAGCACTATGTGTAGAGCTGTAAAACAGTAAGTAGGTAGAGAACAATTTTTGTTTTCAGACAGACTGTTAATCACATTTTTTTTAAAGAAGTTAATTAATTTATTGATTTATTCATTGGTAGATTAACCACATTAATTATAAAAGTTTAAAAGAATGGATTTACTTTGACTGAATAGTGACGTAACATATTTTGTTTACTTTTTAGTACAATAAAATGGCGGCTTCCAACCATCGAAGATTGTGTTACCATTCCAATGTTTAACGCGTTCTAAAGCTAATTTTCTGTTGGCTATAACTTTAACAATACGTCCGTTTGCTATTTCTATTACGTTTCAACACTTATATCAATTTTCAACTGTCTTTTTCATTTAGTTTTACAATAAATTTCTCTAGCTCTACAATCTGTCCAATAAAGTTATTTATAGATCTAAATATCAGGTGGCCGAGAAAGTTATTTATAGATCTAGAATCTAGGTCGAACCAAATTATTTTAAAATCAGAATAATTTATTGAGTTTCTTTATTAAACTTTTTTTAGTCCTTAAATATTTGATATAAATCTTTCCTTTTTAGCTTCACGGATCATCTAATTCAATTTATTCAATTAAGGTAACAATAGTAGGCATGAAGGCTTTTTTCACATTGGCCGTTTTAAAATAAACAAATAAAACAACAATTCAATAACAGCATTTTTAAAAAAAAAAAAGCAATTGCATAGTAACGACATAGCAGTAACATAGCACTAAAAATGTGGAATAAAGAAATAATATTACATAGTTATAATACAAAATGAGATAAAAAAAATATAATAGATGAATGAGAAATGTTTCAATGAGTCAGTTAGAGAGGTCATTAAATGATTGTTGTTTTAGTTTAGATTTGAATTTATTTTCAGATCTAACTAGCTTTATTTTATTAGGAAGATTGTTCCACAAATTAGAACCAGAGTAGGCGAAGCTATGTTTTTGGAAAAAAAGTTGTAGATGGGAACGGTAAATTAAGACGACGATTTAATTTTATGTTAAAATAAAATGGGTCTGATAAGTAAGAGGGGGCTGTTTCGTGGACTATTTTATATAAAAAAATGATTTAGTATATATTATCTTTTTATTTAGTGGAAGTATTTTAGTTGTAATAAAAGAATCTAGACTACTAGACAAGCCAGTAACCAGTTTTATAGCCCTTTTTGTAATGATAGAAGAGGACGCTGCTTAGTTATAAAGCTGTCGCTCCACACTACAGAAGCATAATCCAACCTAGATTGAATAAAAGCTTCATAAAAAAACTAGCCTGCTCCTATAGTCGAGAAAGTTCTTTATCCTTGCTAGTTGAAAAGTTGTCTTTAATAAGGACATTCTTAGAAGATGAATATGATCGGACCAAGTGAGGTTGTGATCTATAACCAATTCTAGGCATTTGTAACTGTTAACCTGTTCAATGTTTGTATTGTCCATAGTAATGCGTAATGAGGTGGATGGGAGACGAAGGCGTTTCTGATGAGTTGTAATAATCATTGACTTTGTTTTATCTGGGTGAAGTTTCATTTTGTTCAATTTTGTCCAAGTAGCAAGCTGATTGGCACATGTTTGAAGTTTGTAACTGAGTGACTCAGTACTGTCTGCAAAGACATGTAACGAAGTATCATCAGCGAACATCTCGCACTGACCTGCGTCGATGTGCAAAGCAAGATGATTAATGTATAAAGCAAAAAGTAAAGGACCTAAGAGTGAGCCCCGTGGAACCCCTATACTAACATATTTCTGTGAAGAGATGGTATTAAGGTGAAACAGGCAATGAGATCTGTTAGATAAAAAGGAGTGAAGTAACCTAACTGTAAATTCGTGGAATTTGTATGGAATTAGTTTTTTAAGAAGTGTGATGTGATCAATAGAATCAAAGGCTTTTCTGAAATCGACGAACAGCGTGCCACAGAGTAGGTTTTTGTTAATATTTTAAAGCCAGTTTTCATTCATCTTAATCAAAGCAGTGTGACAAGAATGAAACTTTCTAAACCCAGACTGATTACTATGGAAAAGCTTATGCTTTTCTATGTAGTTTTACATGCATTTGTTTATATGTATTTCTAGTGGCTTGGAGAGGGAAGAAAGTATAGAAATTGGCCTGTATTTATTAGCATCTTGGATATTACCTTTTTTGTGTAGTGGTATAACCTTAGCATGCTTAAAATGTTTTGGGTAATAATGCTTGGCAATACAGAGGTTATAGATATAGGTTAAAACTTCAGAGAATATTGAAGCTGAAATCTTCAATACTTTATTAGATATATCATCAAACGAAGTTGTTGTAGACGGTTTAAGAGATCTTAGGCTAACATAAACTTCATGAACAGTGAGAAGCGGAATTAGCAGCTCTGTCCTACCACGGTGAGCAGAATTACAAAAAATTTTAAGCTCCTCACTGATTGTGTAATCAGCATCTGTGTTGAGCGCTACAGATGATATAAAATTATTGTTAAAGTCATCAGCAGATATCTGGCAACGTCCAGCTGTATTGCATGTGCGTTTTTTTTCTAATTATTTGACTTATGGCAGTCCAGATAGATTTGGAATTAGGTTTGCCTGACAGCAGCTTATTAAAATAATCCTTCTTCGACCTAC